TCACATCGTATCAGAACAACACAAAACTTCACTCTCGTCTTTAGTCTCCCCGAATTGATAGTTCTATTGCTAGTTCCACCCGTATCAAAAGTTCTATCTCTATTTCCACCCCGATATCATAGTTCTCATCCAATTTTCCAAATGTGTGGGTTTAATCGGTTAAAAATTGGGTTACTGTTTTGATTAACCGAAGAACGAATCCAGTGACCGGATTAAACCTAATTCGACCCGATTAAAAAACTTAACCAACCCGATTACAAAATTAAACAAACAAACCCAAAAATCAAAAAACCCCAAATCGATTTTTCCCCTTTCTCTCTCGAGAAACCCTAGTCGAACCCTAGAATCTGAAATCGAATCGATTCAATCGATTTCTTCTTCTCAATCGAGTTTTTCTTCTTAATCGAGTTGTTCTCTCTCGTGGCGCATGCGATGGCGTTAGCTATTCCCGAAGGCGACATCCCTCCTGTTGAAGAATACGATCCTGAAGCAGAGGATCGAGATGAATCGTTCGTGGAGAAGCTTGCCCAAGATTTCACTGAAGCTGAAGAGCCAATCCTTCACGATGTTTACCTAGATAGCGACGACGAAGCTGGAGAACATCGTGGTGGTGGAGACAGAGGGACGCACATCAACCGTGGAGATGGGACGATGTACGTAGGGCAAAAGTTCTTCAATGGGATCGCGTTCAAGGAATGTGTCACTGATTATGCATTGCTAACAGGCTACAATTTGAAACAATACAGGTACGATAGGGATAGACTCGGGTTTAGGTGTGTAGGTGCTAAGGGTAAATGCGAGTGGAAAGTGTATTGTGCATCTTTGCAAAATGAGTCAATGTGGAAGGTTACACGATACAACAATAAGCATATTTGTGTTGCTAATGGAGAATGTGAGATGTTTAAGGTGCCAGTTATAGCAAGGCTGTTTCTTGACAAGATTAGAGAAGATCCTAAGTATTACATGCCTCAGAAGATGGAACAGATTATAATGGAGAAGTGGAAGATTTCGGCTACTAGACCTCAGTGTCAAGTTGCTCGGAGAAAGGCCTTGGCTTGGATTGAGCTGGAGTATGATAGTCAGTTTGCACGTCTAAGGGATTATGCAGCTGAGATATTGGAAGCAAATCAAGGGTCTATTGTGGAGGTTGACACGATTAGGAATGAAGCTGGCCAGGACATTTTTAACCGCTTCTATGTGTGCTTTGATGTGTTAAGGAGAACTTGGAAAGAGAGTTGTAGGCCACTAATTGGAGTGGATGGTTGTTTCTTGAAATCAAAGATCAAGGGTCAGTTATTGGTGGCATTAGGAAGGGATGCAGACAATGCTATTTATCCAATAGCATGGAGTGTTGTTCAGGTTGAAAACACTGACAATTGGCAATGGTTTGTCAAGAGACTGAAGATTGATCTTGACTTAGGAGATGGGGATGGTTTCATCATGGTTTCTGACCGTCAAAAGGTATCTTCTCAACTGTTTTCTTCTTGCTGTTGAATCGTTTTGAAGCATCTGTGGAGTGGATTAATTTGGTATTGTATGTTTCAGGGGTTGATTAAGGCTGTGGAGTTAGAGTTACCAAATATTGAGCATCGTAAATGTGTCAGGCACATTTATGGAAATTTAAAGAAGAATCACCCCAATAAAAAACAGATGAAGAAGCTCTTATGGGACTCGGCATAGAGTTACAACACTAGACAATATGAGGAGAGATTGGAGAGGATTCATGCTTATGATTCAAAGGTGCATGAGGATGTCCTGAAGACAAAACCCAAGACATGGTGCAGGGCATTTCACAAGGTTGGTAATTACTGTGAGGATGTGGAAAACAATTCCACAGAATTTTTCAACAACACAATAAACAAGGCAAGAGAGAAGCCTTTTGTGGCAATGTTAGAGATGGTAAGTAGGCTTGCAATGGTTAGAATTGCCAAGAGGTCAGCCATTTCTCATGATCACAAAGGTTAGTTCTTCTTAATCACTTAACTTTTGTATGTATTTAACTGTCGTGTATAATTTCTAATGATGTGTTTCATTTATGTTTCAGGCCTTTGTACACCTTATGTGACTAAGTTTCTGGCTAATGAGCATAAGAAAGCTTCTGAGTGCATTGTGAGCAGCAGCACAAACGGCATGTATGAAGTTCACTTAGATTATGATAAGCATAGAGTTTGTTTGAGGAGTATGACTTGCACATGTAGGAAGTTTCAGATATGTGGAATCCCTTGTGAACATGCTTATGGAGTTATATTGAAGAAGACTCTACAGGCTGAAGACTACGTTTGTCAATGGTTCCGAACCTCTAAATGGCAGCTCAACTACAGAGAAGGGTTGATTCCTCAACGAGGTCCACGGTTCTGGCCTTCAACTCAAACTGACATGGTGTATGCTCCTCCAAGTGATGACAGTAAGATGACCAACGCAGACAAGAAGAGAAAGAAAGGAGTCAATGAGTCTCCAACCAAGAAGCAACCAAAACAAAAGAAGAGAATCATGCATTGTGGGATTTGTGGTGCAGCAGACCACAATTCCAGGTTTCACATGAAGAAGAACAATGCAACACAGGTTATGATTCTACTTTTCTCTGATTTTTTCAGTTTTTCAATGTTTCTGAGTTTTGCTTTTTCCATGTGGTCTGTTTGTGTAGGGAACTCAAGGTGAAGTGTCTACACAAGGTGAAGTGTCTACACAACCTTCTCAGCCTTGTTTGACCCAAGAGAACTGATGTGGGACTTAAATAGCAAGAGGAGTGGTGTTGAGATGAAGGAGAAGCACAATGAAGACTTGTCTGTTTTTTTTTGTATGGTCTTATTGTGTATTTAAACCTGTTTAGGATGGTCTTATGGTTTTGTAAAACTTAACTAATGTTCTCTTTTGAAACCTTGATGTATGGTTTTAGCAAACTTAACTAATGATGTTCTGTTTTACAATCGATTTAGAGTGTCTTTGAAGAAGCAGCAAACACAGAACATTACCAACCAACAAAGACAATCATAATCCATTACAAATAAACACCAATTACCAAGCATTACCAAAGAAAATCCATTACAAAACAAACAAGCATTACCAAAGAAAATCCATTACAAAACAAACAAGCATTACCAACCTAAAAACACGATCATCTCATCCAACTAGCTTAACTATGCCAATCATGATCATACAACCTAAGACAATCCCAATTAGCATCTTATTCATCCTTGCTTGCATTAGCGATTTCACATCTTCAACCTTCTCACATAACTCTTTCTCAACTTCCATAACCATCTTTTTCTCAAGCTCCACCATCACATTCTTCTCAACCATACCAATATGCTGCTTCATCTTCTCAACCTCATCCAAGAGTGCCTCATCCACCCACTTGAAGACATGATTATCATTCTCAAGCTATTTCAAAAATTAGAACCGTAATGAGAACCAAAATTAGCATATCAAGCAACCCAATCCAAAAGCAAGGAAAAGAACTCGCATTACCTTCTTCGCATAGGCATATCCACAACGAACATATCTTCGACAAGGATTTGCATCCGAGTGAGAGTTTTTGGCCACAATATCTTCTCCACACCAACATCTCTTGGGCACGCCAAACACATAAGTCCTTCCTCTACCTCGCACATGAGATGAAGAATTCGAAGCTCCTGAGACATTACTCATGATTCTCAGAGTTCAATTTGGGGATTTTCGATTTTGGAGATTTCGATTTTTAGGGTTCTTGAGTTTCAAAATTGGGGATTTTAGAACGTTAAACGACTATCTGTTATAATCTGGATAGCTGGATTCGGGTCGGGCATGATTTTTAATCGGGTTTTAAATTGGTTTCAAACCGTGTTTCTATGGTTATCTATCGGGTTTGGTTCGAAAACCATGTAAACCCACGCGATTGGGGAAATAGAGATAGAACTTTTGATACGGGTGGAACTAGCAATAGAACTATCAATTCGGGGAGACTAAAGACGAGAGTGAAGTTTTGTGTTGTTCTGATACGATGTGATAGTTATCGGGGGGAAATAGGACGTCGATCCGATTATTTCATTAGTGGGTGTAGAGGAAAAAGATAGACATTTCGCCAGCCAAAGTAGACTTGGACATGTTTAGGTCAAAGTAATAAATATTTTGATCTTCCATAAGCATTAAACAGCAAGCTCCAGCATTAGATGCGATAGACCGTGGCAGAAAATGCCAAAGTATTACAACAAAGAGTTGCTGACGACAAACCAAGAACACATTTAAGGAGATCGAAATATCGAAATGAAAGAAAAACCCGCACAAACTCTCCAGATTTGAAACGTTAAGTTGTGGAGTCGAGTTGGTTCTTGGTACTCTTCTGGGAGGATTCATTGGAATGGAGTTCACGGGCTTGCTGCAACATCGAACCTGCAGGGTAGTTGAAGTGAAAAACGCGAATGAAGACATTGTACAGATGTAAATCAGTAAGCATGTTCAAATTACCTTTTACGTAAAGAGGCCAGATCGTCCTATGACTTGAGAATTATCCTTTTCTCCTCAATCTGATTTTCAAGTTCAAACATGTGAACAGGGGTGAGTATATATATGTTTGTTCACACAAACTTCTTCTCGTAGAAATACAATCTCACCTTAATCTTCTCATCATCATTTGCATCCCATGTTTCCACTGAGCTGCTAACTGGTGGATTCTCTTTTGACTTCTCCACATCCTAACATAAGAATCACAGTACTCTCAAAACAAAGCTTTGCTATTCCAGTGTTAATACATTTACTGAGGAATTACAAGGCAATAGTCTATTCAATCCTATAACCTGTGATGACATCGAATCCAGTGGCGATAAAATACCTTCAATGTTCCTTTCCAGCGGACTAGAATCTGTCGAGTTCATTAAAGAAAATTCATATTACAAAGATGAATTCAATATGGATACAATGCTTCACCATTAAAATACACTGATTTGGTTTTATGAAAAAATTATATGATAAAACATACCTGAATTAGCATCTCCATCGTCAACTTTCTCATAATCTGAGTGAGGTTTCTCTTTCACAGATTTTGATCCAGAGTGTCTTTTCTTGATCTTATGATCTTCTGAACTAACAGGAGATAATGACCTATCTTCCCGTCTTTTGTCGCCTCTAGGAGATGATGACCGCAATCTCTCATGACGTTTTGACCTTTTTCCTCTTGAACTGTTCTTTTTCTCTATCGATCTTGACCTCGAGTGCCGCTTATGTCTTGATTTTCTTTCATCCGAATATCCAGGGGATGACCTGATATCTCTCCCTTGCTTACCCTCAGATGATGGTGACCTTGACCGTCTTCCACTACGATGCTTGGACTTTTTGTCCCTGCTTCGAGTCTCCTTATTATAACTACGCTTACCTTCCACTGATTTTGACCTGGACCTCCTTCGACGTGATCCTGTGTTTCTGTCTTCATCCAGCTTATCTTTCCCAAAAGACCTGTTTTTCGTTTCCAATGATCTAGACCTTGACCTTCCCCTCCTCTCTTTCATATCATAGTCCTCATCCAATGATTTTGACCTGCGCCTACTGTGACGGGAATTCAGATTATCGTCTTGAGCAACATCAACATTCTCATGAGAACCATTGTCGTTTTCCAATGATTTGGACCTAGTCCTCCCCCTGTGTTTCCGTTTAGTTTCATCAGAATTTCGAGATGTGTCTTTGGTTTTACTCCTACCTTCACGAGATCTTGACCTCGAACGCTTTTTTTGATGTTTTAATTCCTCATCTCTAGCTTCATCCTTCATATCTGCAGAATCTTCCACTGATCTAGATCTTGAACGTGATCTACGTTTGATTTTGTTTTCTTCACCATCTCTTGGGGTTGACTTAACTTCCTTATATCGCCTCGGTGATCGTGAACCAGCACGAGATGATTTCTTATCTCCACGTGAGGAGCTATCACGTCGGTGTCTTGACAGCTCTGAATCTTCTTTTCCAGATTTTCTCTTTTTGGGACTTACACTCCTACTTCTCCTTAAACTGGAAGAATGGTGTTCATCTGATCTACCGTATCTCCTACTTTCAGAAATATCCCTAGAATCTCTATATGACCGCCTTCTCCCCTCATAAGTTGATCGGCGGTGGTATCTTAATGGTGATCTCGATCTCTGACTTCTTGGGCGACGAAACGGTGGTGAATAGGACGGAGATCTCCGTCTTCGCCTGTAACTAATTGGTGATTTTGACTTTGATCTCGACCTTGCAGGAGAGTTAGATGGTGACCTGCACAAGAGAGGTGACTATCAGTTCAGATTGTAAAAAATGACAAAGTTAGCAAGCCATAAATTTGTATTGGAAGCCCACCTAGACTTCTGATCAGCTTCTTTTTCATCATTTCCAACTCCATCAGGTCGCAGTTTCCTACTTATCTCTGCGGCTCTGGCTGCTGCAAGCTCGGTGGCAGACTTCATGGTGGCAGCTCTATTTGCTGCCTGCTGAGTAGCCACGGCTTGTTGCATTAGTATAGCCTGTTGGAATTGCATCTGCTGCATAGCGACGGCCTGTTGCATCATCATTGGTAGTGAGGACGAAGAACTATTTGAAGATGGTTTCTGAGGAAGTGATTTTGCAATCTCAACATTCAATGGTCTACCAAAGACTTCTGTATTGTTTAATGCCAAAGCAGCGGTTGCTTCTTCGGAATTTGAGTATTCTATGTAGGCAAGTTGCTTTGAGTCAGTTATACTACAGTCAACTACTGTGCCACAGAAGCTAAATAGCTGCCTAAGTTGTTCAGTTGTAAGCGATGGACTTAGGTTGCTAACTTGGAGAAATTTCTTCAACGAGTCCCCCTTCTCTCCTTTTTCTGGGGAACCTAAATCAGAAGCTACTTCAACTCATGAGTATCACAAAGGAAAAGAAACCTAGATAAAACTCTAATGGAAATTAAACTTGAGACCCAAAGATAAATATCAAGAGACTAGCAACGAAAGGCACAATACCTAAAGATCCCTTGTTTGATTGAGCATGTGCTTGCATCTGAGAAGCATGAGCTTGAAGGGCTTGTGCGGCAACAATAGCCTGTGCAGCAGCCATTGCTGCAGCAGAAGGAGCCATAGGCACCTGACTTAGGTTACCCATACTTGTCGTTGCAGCTATAGCAGTCATCAGCAAATTCTGAGGAGGGTGGTTTAACTTGCACATAGTGTTTACACATCTACCATTAAGGTATTCCCGACAGACTTCCCCAAGCGAAGCTCCAACTCCAGGCAAAATAGCACCACCAGAAGGACCAGAGGAAATGCCTGGAACCATTCCCAACAACCCCGGGAATGCACCCGAAACAGAACCTGTGTAATTGGGCATGTTTGGCATGGTTTGATTTATAAGATTCGAGTATGAAGCTGGAGCAGAACCCATCAGTCCAGTCGAAGAAGACCCTATTACACAGTTTCATAAAGACAAACAAAGTTTATAAATCCATAGGAGAAACATGAATGGAAACAATAAGATTCTTGAAAATGAGATCAGATTGATATACCTTGGCTAAAGAAGACAGGAAAGGGACTTCCCATGATGGCACTCCCATTGCATTCAATGTTAACCATATAGTTTCCTCTCTTAGGCACAACATAAGTAACAGCATAACTCCCATCTCCAACATCTTTAACCACTCCTTGTTGATCAGTACCACCAACACCTACACCAGGAAACACTTTAACTCTAATCAAAGCTCCACCACTAGGAACCTTTCTTCCATCTGAATCCTTCGTTACAACAACAAAGGTAGACGGCACACAAGCCGTTCCACCACCAATCCCAGCACCAGAAGCCGTGGACTTGCTAGGATCCACGGGACCAATTGGTTTCCTTGACAAGTAATCAGATTCGTCATCTGAATCACTATCAGATTCCTCCTCCTGTGGTACCACCGTAGACGGTGCAACAGCTTCAATCAAATGTGTAGTTTGGTCTGCACCTTTGAATGTAGCTTCAAAAGCTGCTTTTGCTGCTGCGTCTTTCTCTCCTTCGTCCTTGATTTTTGCATCTTCCGCATGTTTCATCCAAAAGGTCTTACCAGCTGCGGCAGAACCTCGATCTGAAGCCATCAAAACCAAAAAGTACCAATTTTTTTTTTTATCTTCTTCAATCTCAGATGAAAGCTAAATCCCTAATTCGAATTACAATCAATAAGGAGCAGAGCCTAAGATTCCATTACCGAATAATTAGAAAGAGCAAAATGGTGAAATCGAAGCTAGAATTTGCAGTTTTAGGGTTTCTAAGAAATCAAGACGAAGAAGAAGAAGAAGAAGAAGAAGAAGAAAAAGGTCGAATCATTTTTATCTAAACTTAAATTAACTTACTTTGCTATATTTGCAATTGTGGTCCTTATAAATGACAAACTAACATATTTGACCGCATACTTTCAAAATTACACCTAAATCGATATTTTTCAGAATAGCTAGAGTATGATAAATGGGAGGTTTTTGCGTGTAACTCAGTATTATTACAACTCCAGAATATATTACAACAAAAGAGTTGCAGATAACAAGACAACAATAAGGTGGTTCTTGGTACACTCTCACTTTTGGGAGGAATCATTGGACTGAAGTTCTTCACGGGTTTGATGCACTAGTATCTTCTCAATAGCATCAATGAAGCCTGATAAGTTTTGCCGGGTCTGTAAATCCAAGGAATTCGCTAGTTCCTGACGAGTAGAGCAAACGACAAATCGTTAAGCTTACCAAAACCAAAAGCACTTACATCTACAATGTTGCAAACTGTATTTGGTCTTAGGCCAATGGCTTGCTTAATCATGTTTTTATCATTCGATTTTGAGAGATTAAACAAGACTGACAACAATGACCAGGAGAAGGAACTAACACCCAAATTCTGTTTTCACCAACAGATAAAACCTTTGTTTATGATGGAATTGTAATATCGAGAAAAAGTGTTTTGAGTTTGGAAAAACATGGTCTTACCTCAACTTTGCAGATAAGGCTCAGAGATATTCCCTTTGACTGATTGTCCGAGTTCTTGAGAGATGCAAGCTTCAATGGGGAATTCAGCAGTGGCCAACCATCAGAGACCTTTAAAAATGCATCAATACCTCCAGCTATATGAGCCACAATTGTTTCATCTTTGTCGTAGTATTTGAACGTGTGCCTGCCATAGGATCACAGAACGTGCAGTCAATTGGCTTGCTCAGACAACTCAATGATATGAGTTAGATACGAAAGAAAATTTCAGCTCTTAAGCTACTTAAAGGGAAGACTCACCTCATTGTTTTCGAACTCGTCACAATATATTTTCTCAAAGTGGTTGTAATGATTCTATCTTGCACTTTGGCGACAACCCACTGGACTGACGATCTTGTGTCTAGCACTGCAGAGTGTAACCTTACCTGCCTGCAGTTTTAAGATATGTTATGACACAGTCCTTATTAAACAAGATGTAACTTTGGTAATTTAGGCTGATGTGAGTCAGCTTAGACATGAATTCAACTTATTCCAAAATATAAATTAAATGTAGAGGTTGGATGCATATCTTACGGTTTCTTACGTAGCTGTGTTAGCCAGAGGAAAGAATTAACTGAGCAAAAGGGCAATAGAGCCAAAATTCATATACCGAATCACAAAAACCTAGATGATAAGGAACATACATTCCAGGGTTTTCTTGGTGTACTGTTACATGAACTAAGTTTAGGCTGCATATATACATACAACTGGGGACACCCAAGCCAGAGGCTGGGCAACTTTTTGAAAACCAAAACTACAAAATTGAATAACAAAAGGCTATAATCTTATCCTCCCTATTACTTATTTGTCTTATAACTAACTTACTACCATACAGTTTCAGATTGATAAGTAAGTTAAATTTCAGGACATAAAGAAGCTAGAGCACAAACCTGAAAGAATCAGCAGCCTCGATGATGTCTCCTATATATACATCATTTGGAAACATCTGAGGGAGAAAATAGATTTCAATATAATTCACAGGAAGCAACAAACAGATACATTTATCTAAATTCATACAAAACTAAAACATAATAGTCAACAGTGAAAGACAGAGAGTGTTACCTCCAATTTTGTTATCTCTGTAGTTTTATCCTTCAGATATATTAGCAATTCGTGGATCAATTCAGATGGCTTAGTAGTGTGTTCAAATTTGTGCTGTGCAGGCAAGCCGTCTAGTTCGGGAATATATGTTCGCAGTTGGAGCCTAATAAAGTTTCCATCAAATTCGAGCACCTTCAAGCCTGTCAATGCGTCCTCAACTTGTTCTGCCGCATCAAACCTGAAGGTAGAAGAAGTGAAGAACTCTAATGAAGACAGGGTAAGGATGTAGATCTGAAAGCACGTTTTAATTACCTTTTACGTAAAGAATCCAGATCTTCCAGTGACTTAAGAATCATCCTTTTCTCCTCCATCTGATTTTCGAGTTCAAACATCTGAAAAACATTGTGAAAAAGGGTGTATAGAAACTTAAAAAGATATGTGGTAGAGCTCTAAACTTTTTCTATACGAACCAAACATGAAAAAATCCTTGCACAATATAAAGCAATAAGAAGACAGGTAGTGGCAACTGGCAAGCTAAGAAAATAAGTACTGAAAAAACTTCTGGAAATTTTAGAGTGCAAAAGATGTTTTTTCATGTTAAGTTTTAACCATTCAGGGACAGGGAAACTATAATTCAAAGGACAGAATATGATATTTTGTCTTAGATTGCTCGGGGAAGTAGTGTAGTAAACTCTACCACATTAGCTCTAATCGATTAGGCAAAGCAAGAGTTGGAATAATTAGAGACAATATTGTTAAGAGATGAAATTTTGTTGAGATATATACATGTTTCACACACACACAAGCTTCATCTCCTAGAAATAAAACATTAAAATATTGCACCTTAAACTTGTCATCATCATTCACTTCGCATACTTCCATTGAGCTGCAAGATGGTGGACTCTCTTTTGACTTGTTCACATCCTAAGAATCACATAACACTCAAAACTAAGCCTTTTGATTCCAGCTAAAAAACTCTTACTGAGGAATTACAATGAAACGATGTATTCAATCCAGTAACCTGTGACGACATAGAATCCAGAGACAGTAAAAGACCTTCAAGATCCCTTTCCAGCCTACTAGAATCTAACAAATTCATAAGAGAAAACTCATATTATAAAGATATATAGTAGCACATAGGTACCATGCTTCTTCAACCTGAAATAAGTAGAAGAAAACTAAAAATAATACCTTCAGCATGAGACCTAGAAAGACGTTCAATTTCTTCAGAAACTTTGGCACTTTCAGCCTCCACAGAATGAAGCTCCTTTCTCAAGTACTCCAAGTATGCATCTGTGAGATTCATAAACAAATCTTTATACAATTCATCTCATTAATCTTCACTTAGGTTTTAAACAAGAGTTACCAAATACTCAAAAACAACGTTGTAAAAAAGGGTTCAAAGGAATAGCAAACCTGAATCTTCAACATCCAATATATCAACATCGCTATAATCTTCAACAATCTCATTCACCTTCGTCTAAACAAATCCCATAAAAGTGAAATTTAGCCATCTATCGAAACAATTACACCATAAAACCCCAAATCACTTGAATCGCGCAATTACCTCAAACTGAAGAACAAAATCTTGGACCAGATTCTCGGAATCGGAAGTACATGATTCTCCAGGTTCGTATTTGCAGTTCCGGTGAATGGACTCGAGCTCTTTCACGCGGCTGTGAAAAACGAACAAAAGAGATGAACAAGCAAGCACAAAAACCAAGGACTCGAGAGAAACGACTGAGAAAACCTGCGAATCTGTTGCAGATCGAGAGATCCGTCGTGGGTATCTTCTTCCATTGAAGAAAGCTTCGACCTTGATTGTGAATTTTGGCGCTACAACTGTTCGAAGTGAAGGAGAGTGCAGCGGTGAAGTTGAAAGCAGAGAGAGACGATTTCAATTTTCAAATGGGAAAGATGAAAGAGAAACATAACCTTGTGAAATCACCCCTGGACTTATACTTTTATTCGACATTAAACCCCAAAATTATATTCTGAGTCAATCAGACCCAAAATAATTGGAGTTAACTGCAAGTCCGGTTCAATTTTGTGATGACCAATCGATATGCGTTCGGTTCAAGTATTAGACCGGACTCTAAACAATTTTATTTTTGTTAGGGTTGGATTGTTCTTTTCCTTTTTTTTTTTTTTGGTGGAAGTTGGATTGTTCTTTTCCAGTTGAATAGTTTGATTTTATCTTATTTTAAAAAATATTGAATTATTACATGATAATGTTTATTTTAGAAAACAAGTAATCTGCTTGCTCTCAGCTAATATATATCTTTTGAATATTAGTTTTTAACTTAAAACTTTTAATCCTTGCTGCGTACGGAACAAAGAAAAAAAAGGAAATAAAATAGAGAGATTTACTTTTAGGTTTTGTTTAATTTCCTTTTTTTTTTTATGTAATCCAATTTGCTTACTCCTCTTTACTCTAGGACTTGCTTAGACTATATATATACTCCTAACCCTAGGTCGTTTTGTTTATCTCTGCTTTTGCTTTTGAAACCCAAAACTCTTGCTAGTTTCTGATTCTGAAAGCTTAGGTTAAACAGAGAAGAGTTTTCAGAATTCAACGTTTGTTACCCTCGAAGCGATGAAGATGACGGAAGACATCGATGAGCTGCTCAAGATGACCGAGATACTGTCTAATCCATTGGAACAGACAACGATTAGAACCTTGGCTGAACACTTTAGGTTCGGTATAATCGGAAAGACCGAATATGAAAGTGCTTTGTGCAGGCTAAAAGACAGAATTCGTGATCGGAAGACTGGTGAAGAGAAGAAGCCTGAAGAAAACCCTATTCATCATGATCCAAAGGCTAGAGTCGGTCCACGGATTAAGTTTAAACTATGTAGTAACCCTAAAGAAGACGTTACAACTCATCATGGCTTGCGTAAGATTGATGCGGAGAGGGACGTGAAGGAGAATTTGACTGACTTATTGATGGCCATCGAGGAGAGACTGACCACGAAAGAGATGAGACTCTACACTGACTTGTGTAAAAGCTTTGAGTCCCGTGTAATCGATTATGGAGACTTCGTTTCATGTGTTCTGACGTTGATAGGGAAACACAAGAGTCTTTATCAACGCTTCACATGTTTTTCCTACGGTGACAAAGGAAGCAAAGTAGATGAGGTTGGAGAGACCGGACAACACGATGAAGACAGTCTTGTTGGAACATGTCCTGAGTCTAGGGTTGAAGTTGATGAGAAGAAAAACTTGGAGGGCAAGAATAAGAAAAGAGTCTTGTTTCCTCCAAAAGAGTGGAACCTTCCTCTGAAGAAAAGGAAAATGTCTACGAGTGAACAAGCGACAGAAGACTATAGTCTTATCCCCGAGGAAGAACAGTGTCCAGTCTCAGACCCTGTGACGCGTGTAAAAGTGACAGAAAGCTATACTCTTATCCCCGAGGAAGAACAGTCTCCAGTCTCAGACCCTGTACTGAATAACACGTGTGCTGTGGGGGCTGATTTTATTCAGGCAAGTAAGAAGGTATCACGTATCGAACAAGAGATGTATAAATGCGAAGATGAAATGTTCGAGATTGATATGTTGGTGGGATCTCTGACAAGTGCAGTGGACAGTGCGGAGAGAGTTATGAGTGGAGAGATGAATATAAATGATCTTGGAGTGAAGTTTTACAGATGCATTGAAAAAATATATGGTGATAAAGAGGTTAACAGTATAATGATTGAAAAAGTGAAAGATGATCACCAAAGGGCTTTACCTACGGTCTTAGCTCGGTTGAAACAGAAACTGAGTGAAATCACGGATATTCGAGAGAGCAAGAAAGGTGATTGGAAGAAGACTTGGAAAAGGCTTTCTGCAAAGCAAAAGAGATCCAATGCACCGCACAAACATCTGAAGAAGAGAAGATAAACAATAATCTGATTCATGTTTCTAGCTAGGGGTTTTAGTTTAACATAGACTAATTTGTGTTTTTGGTTTTTGGTTTTTGGTTTTTGGTTTTGTGTTTTCGTTTATATAACTGTTGAATGTGGTGTTGACAACAGTCTTTATGTTAAACTTGGGGGATTATAAAGTGACATTGTAATTTGAACTAAATAGAGTGAACAATTTGTTTATCCAACTGTGGAGTGTGCAACAACAGATCTGAAATAGATTTCATAATGTAATCTTTTTTTTTGTGTGTGTGTGTGTGTGTGAGTAATGATTTTGTGTGATATATCACATTAGTTGCAACTTCTAAATGATACCAAAGTTGAATAAAACATATACCACAAAATATTCAAACAAAAACAAATATTATTAAAGAAATCACGAACCGGGAAACACAAACACAAACATTAAACTGATGATGAAAAAGACAACCAAAAAGAAAGAGACAAACACACAGATCGTAATTCAAACACAACGTTACTCCCTAAACATGTTGGAGCTACAACAGGAGTCATCAGGACCAATCATCTTAATCTGTCTTAAGGAGAACCACCGCTTGAGCTAGGAACACCACCACCACTAGCTCCACCACCGAGTCCACCAGGGAAACCCATTGCACCACCCAAACCACCAAAAGCACCACCCCCACCAAGAAGCGGCGGCGTCCCAGACGGGAGAGGCAATGACACGCCAGTGCCACCACCACTTCCACCACCTGGCATTCCAAAGAATCCGCCAACTCCGGCAGCACCGCCTATTCCTCCAGCGTACATGAAGTTCTTCTGGTCGTCAAGAGGGTCATCAACGGTAGCAGACTCAGATTTGGTAGGAGAAGTAGCTCCTCCATGGAGAGGCAGAGTCTGAGTTTGCTGCAGACTGCGAGCACTTGCGTGGACCAAAAGCAACATAGCTGCAGAGAGAAGCACGAGATTAGTAACTGATGAAAACCTCATCGCCATTTTTTTCTTTTTATCACCAACGAATGTTTAGAGATAACAAAAGAGACAGAAGTAGAGATCGATGTTCTGTTTTGTAATAAAATGCATGCATGCATGGATTATATAGAAGGAAAAAGACAGATTACAGTTGAGGATAATTAATTGTATTTAGCGACTTTAGATTAAAGATGTAGAAAGTGTTAATGTCTTTGTCCACGAAGGTCATTGGTCATCTTCTATGGGGAATATAATGGTTTATGTATAGGAAGCTTCGTAGGCTGTGTACTGGACTCTGATCGATTCACAAGATATAAAAGTAGACTGTATTTTTATTTTGTTGATATACGTTTATCACTCTAGTTAAAAGTTAAAACCAAATTCCAAAACAGTCTGTTTAAATAGCAGAGACTGAGCCAATTGAATTGAATTAAGAATTTAAGAGTGTTTTGATGAGAAGGATCTAATTAAAGCCAATTTGCCAATGCCATGTTCGTTTTAAGTTTTTAACATTACACAAGGCTCTAGTTTTTTGCTCTTGCTTTTGGTTAACATAACAAAGTCAAGAGCTTGTCACCACAAAACTTCCTGCAGAGGAACATAATAAGTGAATGACTGATAAACATAAAACAATTGTCTCTCTTATAAGAAAATGACAGTCGTGGGAATTGAAAATTTTGGTTGTACGAGTTGCATAAATTGAAATTGAGTAGGGTACAACCGTACAAATCGAAACATAATATTTTGGTTTTATTTTTACAAAAGAATAATGTCTGGTACGTATTTCTTGGCATTGTATAAATTACGTATATATAATGTTGTAATATTATGTTTGAAATAGTTAATCTTTGAAAAAAAGGATTAGAAAAATTTGTATAGGGCTGATTATGGTATAGAAAATCCAAAGAAATAAGCTGGATATACTTGTTGTCGTCATTAAGAGATGGCATTGGTGTCCTTCTTTTTTTTGGTCATATGGTTTAAATATTATTATTTTGATAGTGCGTTAATTGTATGTTTTTTTTTATGTATGAGCATGTCCCATAGTTTTTGGTCACATGGTTAAAATAATAATATTTTGAGTTTTTTAAAAATAATAAATAAACACATATTAAAATTTGGATTAATATAAATATATAACATTAACATTGAAAACAAAAAAAAAACATTGCCAAGTTACAAAGTTACAAAAATTTGAAAAAAGAAAAAACATACAATTAAAACATTAAAAATATAAAACATAAAACATAAAACATACAAAGATCAAAAATAAAAACAAACATTTTATTATCCATAATAATTTTAAAATTAATCTTTATTATGCGGAAAATGTCCAAAACTAGTCCAAATATGTTCAATCAAATCATATTTTAATTGTTAATGGGCTTGTTTATTCCGAAGTTTTGCTCGATGAGTAATCATACTGCCGATATTTGAACCCACATCGGCGGCACAACGGTATATGTTTGATCCACATTTTCTCCGTGTTGAAATTCATAAACGTTACAGAGATTGTATGTATGTCGTTCATATTCGACAATCATATTATGTAGTATTATGCATGTTCTCATAACATTTGCTATTTTGTATTTATTCCACAAAAGAGATGATTTTTTTCATTAAAAATTTTTGCCCTACAAAAAAAAATCACCCATGCTGATAAAAAAAAATCACCCAATCATAAAATGTCACATGGCACTAGAGACTTATATAATTTATTTCAATATAAGAACATCCTACACTTTTTAAGCGTTTATTATTTAAATTTAAATCATATAATATGTGGAACGCACATTGCATACGCTAATGCGCATTGTCTAAGGCCCAATGGGCTGTTTCACCGGCTAGAGCGAATCAATAAATAAGAAAAATTTCCATTTCTCTTCGCCTTTTTTATTTTTTTTATTTGGAAACCAATAATAAAAAGATCCCTAGGGTTTTACAGCACCATGAGATCATCACGGCGGCTGCAGAATAAGCGACCGAAGACCTCAATCAATGACGACGACGGCAGCGAGCCGATCCCAATGGATCTCCTTATCGAGATATTCCTCAAGTTGCCGGTGAAATCTATAACGACATGTCGTCACGTATGCAAGTACTGGGCCTACGTACTTGGCCATCCGGATTTCACAGAGTTGTTCTTGACCAAATCTTTTGCTCGTCCGCAGATCTTGTTAGCGTGCAGAGGAAAGAACGACAAGGATGGGTTCGTCTTCTTCTTCCCAAATCAGCCTCAAAACCCTGATCGCAACTCGTCTCCTATAAAAGCTTATCCTCTTACACATGTCCCCGGAGCATGTGACGTCAGTCGTCCTGTCCACGGCATGGTCTTGCTTAGAGGCAAGGGAGTCTTAAAGGGAAGTAAAACACGAGTGGATGTGTCCGTTATATATAACCCTAGCACAGGAGATTTTCTAACGTTACCTAAGACCAAGACGACAAAGAAGACAAGGAATATGTCTTTTATGTGGCAGAGCTATTTAGGGTATGATCCGATTACGAAACAATACAAGGTCTTGTCCATGGCATATAAGAAACGTGTTTATACATATGAGCAGAAACTTGAGGAATGTGTGGAGTCTCAAGTTCTAACACTAGGAACCGGAAAGCTATCATGGCATGTTGTCGAATGTTGCATAACCCAATTTCCCCCAAAAGCTCATAGTGAGATATGCATCAATGGTGTTTTGTTTTATCGAGCTGAGGTTAAAGACTCTTCCGGGGTTACCATGAGAGTTGTTTCTTTCGATTTTAGGTCTGAGGAATTCAATGTTATGAAGTTCACGGAAAGTTTTACTCTGGCTGATTCAACAGCCTTGGTCAACTATAATGGGAAATTAGGTGTGTTGATAACAGACGACTATGGGCCGCATGGGCGTTTTTTTACGAATAGAAGTACAAATTTTGAGTTGTGGGTTCTTAAAGACGTCGTGAAACATGAATGGTCGAAGCATATATATGTACTGCCTCCTTTGTGGAAGGATGCAGTTAATGGTGAGTACTTATGTTTTGCTGGAATTATAGGTACAGACGAAATTGTGTTGTTGTCTCCCAGTATGCCTTACGTTGTCTACTACAATATCAAGAGAAAGACGATCATAAAAGTTAAAATCCAAGGAATTGTAACAGAGTTTCACATCTTTCTAAACCACATAGAGAACGTGAAGCTTATTCGAGCATAGCTAGTTCCGCTCATTGACTCTTCTTAAGTTTTCATCATAATTAAGGACTTGGATTTAACTTAGTCATCGCGCCATTGTGTTTTTTGCACGATGGATTGTTTTTGTTTGGTTTTATGTGTCCGAAAATATAATATATATCCCTTGAAGGTTTTCTAATTCCAGGAAAGGCAAACAAACACATGTTCAGAAAACAGAACCAAACTTCTTTTTCAGGGTTTGGAAAGCATTCATTGACATACATTTTGCTGTATTTTAATATAATGTAGAAGTCAACCTCAATTTAGAGAATGATTAGGCTTAAAAGGATGCCATTGACTAAAGTTCTGTGTTCTATCTCACTTTAGTTGCGACTTCTATTGTTGCCAAAGAAATCATATACCACAATACATTAAACAAATCACGACCAAGGAAACACAACACTCAAACATTAAACCCAACTGATGATAAAATAAGACAGCCAAAAGAAGAGGCGAAACACAGAAACGACATCAAAGATCCTAATTCAAACACAACGGACCGTTACTTCCTAAACATGTTGGAGCTAGCTACATCAGGACCAATCGATCATCCTAGTCTGTCTTAAGGAGAACTACCGCTTGAGCTCGGAACACCACCACCGAGTCCACCAGGGAAACCCATTGCACCACCCAAACCACCAAACGCACCAGTCCCACCAAGAAGCGGCGTCCCAGACGGGAGTGGCAATGTCATTCCACCAAGAATCACGAGTTTGGTTAACGGTGATTGATAAGATCTTGAACCTCAACGCCATTACAAACGATTGTTTAGAGATTACAAAACGAGATAAAAGTTGAGATGTTCTGTATTAATTTGACTGCATGCATGCATGGAATGTAATGTAGAAAGAAAGAGACAGATTAATTACAGTTGAAGACAATGAATTGGGAGTTAGACTTAAATGAAAGATGAAGAAAGTGTTAATGTCATTGGTCATGACAGTCCTCTTTTATGGTTTATGTACATAGGGAGCTTTTGTAGGTCATGACTTTGGTCGATTCACAAGGAAGAGTAAACTGAGTCAATGATGGCTTTATTCGCTATTTCCTTTCTGAAGTCTACTACTTTACTAGCGACAAAAGTAAAACAGAATTGTTAATTTGTTGATACGTTGAAAGTGGAAACAATTTGACTTTAAGGTTTGTCACTCTAATTAAAGTTAAGAGCCAATTTCCAAAATGCTCTGTTTAAAGAGCAGAGACTGAGCCAATTGAAATGAAAGAGTGTTTTCAGAAGTCAATATCCAATCGTCAATGCGTGCCACATATTCGATTAAACGTTACACAAATAAGTTTTTGCTTCAACTTTGTTGACTTTTTTTTATCTTTATCATCACTTCCAAATTTCAAATCCATCTTCTTCCAAGACAAATGGTGGTTGTGCTCAAGACAAGATCCGAACATGCATTGACAGATTTTCCCATGTTTCACGTACACCTAATATAGTTTTATGCATTAATATTAATATGTTTTTAGAAGGTAATATGTTTATATATGAGTGAAAACTACAAACAAGAATTATTATTCGATCTGAATTCACACTTGGGAAAGAAAACAACATAAAGTATTGATCTCAAAAAGGTGTAATTTCATGCATCACAACCCTTTGCTAATCACAAATTCTATATCATTACTGTCTTGCCTTCTCTCATGCTATTCTTCTTCTTTTTTTACACCACATACCTAATGGTTTAAATAGATAATTTAATAGGAAAAGAAAAAACAACACACAAAAGAAGCTTTCCTCTCAAGTAACCTTCAAGAGCCCTAGCTAGATCCCTCTATGGAAGAAGAAGAAGAGTAAAGCAGAGACGAAGCAGAGAAACTCGTGTTATTACTCTTTACTAATCTTTCTTCTCGTCTCATCTCTTTAGAAGACGAAGCTGCGGCGGCGGTCGCTGTCGTCTTCATCTCATTCTTACGACCTTCCTCATGCATTGATGTTGTTGTTGTTGGCGGAGGAGATTTCTTAAGCAGCAAGTCAACTTTCGCGTATTCTTCACGTTCTTGCTTGATCTCCTTGAGCATAGCCGCAACGTCTTTCATGGTTGGTCTCTCGTCTGGAGAAGCATTTACACACAGAAGAGCTGTGCCCAAAACTTGCATCATCTCATCAGCTTCAGCCTCGGTTCTTGATCTCAATGTCGAATCAAGAACTTCGAGACTACCTCTGTTTTGCCTCACCCAATCCACTAAGTGAAGCCCTTCTGGTACCGTCGGGTCTATAGGTTGTTTCCCAGTCAACACTTCAAGAACCACCACACCGTAGCTATAAACATCACTCTTCTCTGTAATCTTCATGCTGTAACCATACTCTGCAAAAAAAACAGAGAACCAATTAGTCCAGTTTAAGATAAAAACAGAACAACTAAACTTTAGGGTTCTGTGAGACTTCCAAGTTCCTAACTAAAAAATGTCTGTAATGTATAATAAAAATGCATATAGAAACCAAAACGTAAGAAAAAATCTAACTAAAAGGAAACTATACTTAAAGCAAATATTGCAATAGCCCTAAACAAACACCATTGGTTGCTTTTACTTAGAAACATACCTGGAGCAATGTAACCATAAGATCCAGCGACAGTATTAGAACACCGACCAATGTCACCTTCATCAACAAGCTTGGCTAAACCAAAATCCGCAATGTAAGGCTCAAAATCTAGACCGATCAAGATGTTGTTGGCTTTGATATCGCGGTGAACAATTGGTGGGAGGCAATCATGGTGTAAATAAGCTAAACCTTGAGCTGCACCAAGCAAGATTCTGTATCTAAGATCCCAATCAAGCGAAGATCCTCGTCTCTCGTGAAGCAAACTCCCTAAGCTCCCATTTGGCATGTAATCGTACATCAAAAGCCTCGTGTTTCGGTTCCAACAACATCCGAGAAACCGGACTATGTTCTTGTGTCTAATAGTCCCAAGCGTCTTAACTTCAGCTGAAAACGAATCCCTAACGTTTTTGGTCTTCTCATCATGACCACCGTTAACCATCGCTGGCCAAAGCTTCTTAACGGCTATAACCTCGCCGTTGTCCACGTCAGCTCGGTAGACTACCCCGGAACATCCTTTACCAATCACATTTGGTTCAACTAAACATCTTATAATCTGATCTACCGAGAAATTAAGCTTCTGAAACGGTGTGAACTGCCATTTATATGTTTCTCCTAGCTCTGAGTCTCTTTCGTTATCGATATTCCTCCTCGCACGGATAACAGCAACAGCGCCAAGAATCATCAACAAAACCGTCAAGGTGATCAAAAGAGCGAGTGCTAACCTGAGCTTTCTTGTACGAGAAGAATCACCATCATCTCCAAGTCCATTGGCGTCTCCGTAGGTGAGAAAACAAGAATCTTGAGTTAAAGAAGAACAGAGTTTCTTGTTTCCTTCAAGATCTTGGGGAGACAATTGTCTGAAGAGCTTGTTGTCTGGGAGATAACCAGAGAAGCTATTGTAAGAGATGTTAAGAGAGACGAGATTCTCTATATTGGCCAGTGGAGCAAGATCCCCTTCAAGCATGTTGTGGGAGATATCAAGAATTGAGAGCTTGTTGAGAGACGAAATCTTTGAAGGAATCTTCCCAGTGAGTCTGTTGCTACTCAGGTTTAACGCGATTTCAAGATTCTCGATATCTCCAAGCTCTGGAGGAATCTCACCAGAGAGCTCGTTGCTTCCAAGATCAAGAAGCTGAAGCCCTGAACACATGCCTAAAGAAGTAGGTATCGATCCAGAGAACAAATTCTTGCTCAAGATTAATTTGTTCAGTGACACAAGCCGTCCCAAACTCGCTGGAATCTTGCCTGAAAACTGGTTAGCCGAAACATCAAGAACCTGTAAACCGGAGAGAGAAGAAACAGGGTTAGGCAAAGACCCTTCAAGAGAGTTATTGCTGAGATCAATCATCTGCAACTCTGAGCAGCTTCCAATCTCATCAGGGACCTTCCCATGTAGCCTATTACTCGAAAAATCAAGAAAGTTTAGCTTTTTAAGTGATCCAATACCCGAAGGGATCTCTCCTGTGATCCTGTTGTAACCTAGCCTCAATCTCACTAGAGAGCTGCAGTTACCAATCTCTTGAGGTATAAAGCCAGAGAGTGAGTTTGAGATCAAGAGAAGCTTTGTGAGGTTCCTTAGCATAAACAAACCGGAAGGGATGGTTCCGGTAAGTGAATTACGCGACAAATCCAATGCTTGGAGATCAGTACAATCTGCTAAACCAGGAGGGATGCTTCCTTCTAGCTGATTAGACCAGGCAAAGAACAGAGTAAGCTTTGTGAGTGTTCCAAGCTCGGACGGTATCAAACCAGAAATCTGATTCTTATCAACTTGTAACTGGACAAGACTCGAACAGTTCGAGATTGTAGTTGGAATGGAGCCAGAGAACTTGTTGTCGCTAATCATAAACTCTTCAAGAAAAGACAAACCACCAATGGAGCTTGGAATCGAACCAGAGAGGAGATTTAGAGACAAATCAATCATTCTGAGATTGCTGCAGTTTCCTATTTCTTCAGGGATGCCACCAACGAGACTGTTCTGCCATAGAAACAGCTGTTCTAGTTTCGTTAGCTTTCCTATTTCTTGAGGGATTGAACCAGACAAGCTATTCTCGTACAAGAAGAGATCAACAAGCTCAGAGCAGTTCCCTAAATCTGAAGGAATCTCTCCACTTATCATTGTTGTGTAAATCGAGAGTGTTTGTAGCTTCGTGAGCTTACCTAAGGAAGAAGGCAAGATTCCTGAGACGCTCGTCTCGGCTAAACCAAGAACTGTTAGATTGGAACAATCTCCTATCTCCGGTGGGATTTGGCCGGAGATTTCTTTGTTACCTCCGATTCTTATCACCTCTAGACCAGAGAGGTTCCCTAGCTCCTGCGGGATAGTTCCGGTGAGAAGATTGTCGAAGAGAAGTAGGCTCTTGAGCTTCAAACACTTGCTGATGTCCGGTGGGATTTTCCCAGTGAGTTGATTAGAGTTGAGGATTAGGGTTTCTAGGTTACGAAGCTTGCTTAAACTCCAAGGAATGTCACCAACTAAACCGTTAGAGCTAAGGTCAAGAACCGTGAGACTTAGGCAATCGCCGAGACTCTCAGGCAAAGTTCCGGTGAGATTAGCGCCAGAGATAGTGAGTTTCTGGAGAGAACGAAACGCCGGGAGATTCTTAGGCAAAGAGAGCTGAAGAGGGACAGACTCAATGACGATGTCGGTGACGAAACCTTGAGGAGAGCATGTAATAAAAGTCCAGTTGCTGCAAGGAGTATTGTCTATGGAGTTCCAGTTGAAGAGAGAAAGAGAAGAAGGTGGTGTAGGAGAAGAAGAAGAAGAGTGAAGCCATGAGTAGAGGATAGAAGCTTCCGGGTTTTGCTCTGCATCAGAGAGAGAGAAGCAAAAGATGAAGAAAAAGAAGAGAAGTGAAGAAGAAGAAGAAGAGAAGAAGATTAAGGAATGAAGAGACATTTGCCTCAAAATCCGAAAAGGAAGTTTTTAAAATCTCGGGTTTAGACCCATTTAGGGTTCGGTGCCCTTCGTCGTCTCTCTCTCTCTATCTCTGTGCTCACTCTCTCTCGAAATCTGTTTCTTGCTTGAATTAAACTCAAGCTTAGGAAGAAGAGAGCATAGAGTGGGTTTATGTTCTTCTAATACTTACTTGTATTTGTGGTTTTATCAAATCCTTTAGGGAGAGAGAGAGAGAGAAAGAGAAGGAGAGAAAGAGTACAAAGGAAAATAGGGAAACACAATGCATTGAGATCAACAAAACTGCACCACCCCCCACCTCCTCGCCACCTCACCCTATTATGCCATATCTCTTCTTTACTAGTTGTATTTTTATACTACTATTTTTGTATGTTGTTTTCTAATATTGTTATACGAATAACATAAAGTATTCATTTTCTAATTTTTATTATACATATACATTGCGTGGAGAGTAGAAAGAAACATCTAACTCAACAAAATAGTCTTAGCTAAGATGTTTAAAAATATCAATAACTTGATAGATTTTGTTAGAAAGAATTGACAACCAAAAATTTCCATTGGGTTGTAATTTCTTTTATTAAGACACAAACTAATTTGGCGTTGTGTTTAATGTAACTTAGTTTAGGCAAATTCGTATAGCTGACAAGTACATCGTTTTAATACAAGTATAAAGAGTACAAAAGTTTAGTTGCATCACTTGAGGAAGTTGAAGTAAAACTAAAACAAGCCAAATAAAGAATCTCTTTTACTAGTCTTTTTTGTTTATACAAAATTTACTAGCATCGAGGTTTCCAACAGTTTAACATTCTTACAGTTTTGTGTTACTGAACCCATTAGCCCTCTATTTATGGGGTATAATCATTTTTTAATCTATTTTACTGTCTAAGTTAAGATATTTTTTTTTGTTTCTAACAAAACTATTTTGTATTGATATTTTGATCCAAATTGCGTTTGCTCAAACCCCAAGCAAGTGGTTGGATCGGTAATTCATTTTTAATTCCTCTGTTTTTTACTTGAGTATATTTTATTTGACATTACTCCATTTTTGTTTTTTTGTTTTGTTTTAGCAGAAGGGACTAACTCAATTCAAAATTTAGTTTATGTAGATTAAATAAAGAGAATCCTTTGAAATAAGATGACTAGATTTGAACCCTTTGCTAGATCCAAGGAATTTGTTTTTTTTTTTCTTTTCATTTCCTAAAGATTCATCGGTTATTTATCTAGGTGAATTTGAAGCTACGTATACAGATACAAATGAAAACATTAAAATAATCTCGTGTTAATTGTGTTTTCTCCGTGTTTCAGTCACCTCATTTTGGTTTCTATTCATATTTTAAGATCTAGCTTGACTTGTTTGTCAAATTTTCAATTTCTATAATCTATGTATAAACCAATTGACCAAAAAGTATGCAAAAAGGAAAGATGATATAAAACTTACTATATGATCATAATACTATATATAAAAATGCTCTATTTAGTTACTATATAGTATAAAAGTCATTATTAAGAGTCAGAGATAGGTTAAGCAAATTCTAAGCATTTAGTAATGGTAATTAAGACTTGTGGATTAATAAAGAAAGAAGAAAAGGATGGGTGGGTTTAGGTTTAGGTGTATATAGAGTTATAGACTATAGAGTATAGAGGACAAAACAACAATCCCTGATTTTGAGGATGCCTCACGTGACCACACCAAGCCTCACTCATTCTCACCTACCCTAATTCTCCACTCTAATTATTCTACTTTTATTAATCTCTTTTTGTAACTCCCTTTAATTTACTTTAATCACTTATACTATTTTCTACTCTTTGTATTACCAACGACTAGTTCATCTCTCGATGCTAATAGATCATCATAGTTCAAGGTAACTAAGTAAGTGTGTATGCAAAGTGTGAACTATGATGATCTTTTAGCAGCATCGAGAGATAGAAATGTTTGGGTTACCATCACATGAAGGACATTGAAATGTTTTCTCTATTATGATATACTTTTGAAAAGAGTAAATAAAGTAAGCAAAGTGTATAAAATAACTAGCGCACTATGAGCTATTATTACAAGTAAACAAAGACAATAAAGGAGAGAAAGAAAGAGACCATGAGAGTCTTAAACGGCGCAGTTTTAGAAAATAAAGAAATAGTAGAAGTGTTGTTGTTGCCTTGTTTCAAGGGTCTTTGCCTCGAGAGTCTCTCCCATTTGTGGGAATCTCTCCATGTTTTTGTTTATTTTCCCAAAATGTTCTTTTCTTTTTTAACATTACCACTTTTACTTACTTACTCCCTCAGTTTAAAAAATCATGTTATACTTAACTTTATGTTTAAGATTATATGATTGTTTCTAGTATTTTGAAAAACAAACGACACGTACTACTTAAACTTTTGAAGGAATCAATCTAACTTTGGATTCATATGCGTTTTGAGGGGAGCTAAGATATTCTCATGGACACTACTTAAACGAACAAAACCAAGTCTACCAAAAAAAAGAACGAACAAAACCAAATAGGCTCCTGATGGGCCTATCTCAACCGGGCTACGTCCACTAGTTTACCAAGTAATCTCATGCCTCATTCAAATCAATACTTGGCAGAACCAATGTGAATAAACAAACACATGGAACATAAAGGAAGAACAAAACAAAGCATCTACTATTTTTAGCTGCAAACATCATAAGCAATCCACTGTCTTAATTTCATATCAGAAGTTTTGTATACTACAAATCACTGGCTAAAAGGGGAGATCGATTAATAAGAATTAAGAAGACTTCATAAACCCCAAAGCTAAAAGGAAGAAACACAGAGTAGAGAATGGATCAACACTTCATGCACTTACTCCTATCGTCAAGTGGAGGTTGACCAAAATCTCTACCATTCAGAAGAAGAACAAAAAAAAGCTTTGCACACTTGCTAATACGTGTGAAAGGGGTTAGGTTTTTTTTTTATATACTTAAAACTACTAATTAATGGTTTAATTTGAGAGAGTGATGTTACTAGCTAGTATAGCAAGGCTTGCCTCTGCGGCAACCAAGTGGACCTGCATTAGCAGTGACTGAGTGCACCATTGAGGCTGGTTTAGCCGGTAAGCTTAAGTCATGTGCATAGTTTGCTGATGCTCCTTTCCCTGATGATGTGAAAAACGCTCCATTCACTAGAAGGTCATTTTCTGATCTCCAGTTCCATTTCTTCCACTCATTTTCTTCTGTGTCTACTCTTTTTGTCACCTGTCCAGTTTCCATCATTTGGAATCAAAGATCCATTTAATTTCTCTGTTTATAAGCAAGCGAAAACATTCGAAAGAATCGAACCTCCTTGGCGTAGCGGTTTTTAGGAGCAGCATATCTATTGCCTTGACTGTTTATAGTTGGGTTTGCACTTCCTCCAATAGCATACATTTCCCAGTGTGTGTAATCGTTGTTAACCACATGGAAATAACCATGCCTGCACCTGGATTGATATACTCAAAGTCTTGTTTAACTTCTATTGCAAGTAATAAACCTAATTAAAACACGATGTGACATTGTAGATCTTACCTTGGCATTCTCTGTTTAAGCCCTTCTCCAAAATGGTTGTACGCAATGGTCACTTGCATCAGCTTGTCTTTTTTGTACCAATCAGCGTGGCCTAGCAACATCACCTGCTCCCAACAATGTCATGATCAAGAAAAAACAGAGTTTTATAAAAAAATAAAAGTAGAAGGGTTTCTTGAGCTTTTGGACTGACCTCATTGTGGTGAGTAAAATGGTTATTAGAAATGGTAATGGCAGTTGAACCCATGACAACATCAACAAGACCATCAGCACAATTAGAAAGAGAATTGTGGTCTATCCAGATATGACTTGAACCAAATACATTAACACCATCACCATCAGCCATTCCCCTAAACCCGTCGTAACTTGGTGAGCTTCTAACACTTGTGTTACCAGTTGCCTTGCAATCATGAATGTGCAAGCCATGAATGATAACGTTGGTTATACCCTGGATTGTTATACAAGCACCATCAGCGATGTGGACATTGGCACCACGAGCATCAATGGTCTTAAAACTATTCATCATCAGCTCTTCTTTCAACCTTATCACCATGTCTCTTTTAAAGGTGATCCACAATGGCTCACCTTGGATCACAGCATAACGTAAAGTTCCTTTCTTTGGATTCTCAACGTCCTCATCACTCGGGTCAGTAACCATATAGTAATGCCCATCACGACCACCAATAGCTTTACTTCCAAAACCCATCCCACATGCAGCTAGGTGTTTACGGTTCTTGTACCACTTAGGGTCACAACGCCAACAATCATCTATTAGATTGCCATTTCCACAAGAAAAGAAACCAAGCTTCCTCCTTGCAGTGATGTTCTGTTCACTCCTGCGATTCAATACAATGAATGTGGAATCAACAACTAGTTTTTGTTCAAAGCCATTTTGTTCCTACCTAACATAGTAACCATCTTTTTAATTATTTATTTATTTAAAGACAACAAAGTAGTTAATGTGTTTAGATCCATAATAACTACAATAAACGTGAGTGTTAAAAGCTACTTATTAGATGATAGAAATCAAAAGTCTCCACCATAACACATTAACAACGAAACAAATAAGTGATAGCAACTCAATACCCAAAAAGTGTATATATTTTCTCATGAAAGAAATTAATGAATGAGCAATTTTTTTTCTTTCTCTTGGTTTCTTCTGAATGTCTCAATCATGCACTAATCCACTTAATTGAAATTTTATCTTCAGTCAAAATTTTACTGAGATTGTAAAGTATATGTTTCCCTTAATCATAAAGATTTTACGAACTGCAGAAGAAATTTTTCTAACTACTAATTTAGTGAAAAAAACATTCTCTAAAGATATTGAAATAAATGCATTCACATTCACATAAGCATATAGAAAGAAACTCACATCTGAATAAGTGCAGCGACCTCATGTGCAACTTTGTCTGGATCAGGAACTGCGTGTTCATTCAACTCTACTTCACCTTCAAGCCTGATCAATTACACAAACCAACCACAAATTAATTTACCAAACACAACAACAACCACAACAAAGAAACAAAAGTAATTAAATATGTAATTCATTTTCACACGCAAGTACGTAAAATAAAAATAAATAAAAAACCACATTTACTAACTTACATAACCTTTTCGTCGTTAGGAAAAACAATTTAGATCATATTAACAAAAAGTGAAGAGTAAGGAACAGAGCAGAGCTCAACCGTTGGATCATTTATCTCCTAGCTAAAGTTTGTTAATCTAACGGTTAAAATGCATCTGACGTATGGAATCAACGAGATAAGGATGGTGTTGTTCTTTGTTACCTAGTCTCCATTGTTGAACTGTTAAAGCTCTGTGATAACTCCTCTGTTTTCACCTTCCTAGAGAAAGGTTTCCAAGACAAAAGAGTGCTTTAGTACAGAAGGATCCATAGTTAACAGTCCATACAAGAACCAGAATAATTGGCATAAGATTAAAGAAAAAGCACAAGAATGCTATAAACAGAGGAAACATTGAAAATTTTGTAGCTAAAATGTGAATTGGAGCACAAGAAACAGACACGAGTTAGAGTCATAGAGAGAGAGACCTGGAGCGAGAGTAGATTTCGTTGTTCCAGAGGTTCGTTGATGTGAGAAAGCAGACAACGAAGATCAAGATCAAGACCAGACAACAAGCACTGATCAGTTTCGGAGAAGACGACGCCATTGTGAGTGAAAATAAGTGATTAGTGAGTGAAAGAGTTGCACAAGCTCCAACAAAACCGTCACTCGTTTTATATATAAACGGTGGAAACGAACGTTAACGTCGTCGTTAACTTGACGCCGCTACTAAACGGAGGAAACTCTTAACTCTGGTTTAGTAGATTACTAAACCATTTGTTACCGGTTAAGTTCATAATTATTCCACTATGTATTTTCTTAAGATAGTGAAGCTTCATTGGATTTTAGTCGATTTTTTTTTTCAATTGTTATGATATTTAAAACCAGATTAAATCATGATATATAAAACTAATTAAGTAAATATATGCCGGATTATAGGGTTTTCTCTACTCACAAGCATTTGATAATCCTCCATTCCAGCCCTAATTTGATGTATTATATATTCTTTCTTTTTTATTACATGAAACCATTTTTTTTTAATACTTCGGAACTCTGTCGTCTATTGGATTATTGAAAATCTTCATCCACAAAGTCAAATTATAAGAAAAAAACTTCATAGATGATTTTCAAAATCTCACGTTGGATACTTCATTCAACAAAAGAAAAGGAAAAAAACATTGATGTAGTGATCACGATAATGCTAAATTCATACAAAAGTTTAAGGCTATATATCTTTAACCGTCCATGAGTAGAGAGGTCACCTTGACTTTTTGATGGTATCATTTATATAGTATACCTATAGGGTTGGTAAATATTTCTTATTGAGTTGTCGAATATGCAAAGATGAATGTCTACTAGTAATAAAGATGTTTAAGCTGCTCACTACAACCAACTAGATAGAAGAAATACATTTTGCGTTTTCCATTATTAGACATTGCATGTATACAAAAATTTTTGATGGAGTAAGTAAGCAAGCAAGCATTAAGGAAAAGTCACGCTAGGAACCTAAAACCAGGAAATTTATAAGACGCGTTTCTAAATAAGTTTTATGCTATTTTGGTTGCATTATATCAACCGAAAGCTTTCACACATGGCTTAATTTAAGAGGCTTTTTTTAACTGGCTTGTGATGGTTTGTTGTTACGGTACAAGGTAAAAAACATGCATGTTATAAAATTCATATATCAAAATGTAGTAGAGAACAATGACAATGGTAAGAAAAAAAAGAGAGTAAACATGTTAGATAAGGTCGGTTGGATCAGTAGTACTGATTCTGTTCTATCAAGAATAGAGATCAAGAACAAGTGGTACGTAGTAGATTTACAGGCCATGGACTGATATATGCAATGCACGCAAAGGACTTTGACCAGTCATGTAAAAATGTCAAAGCTTACGAATCTTATTATATGATTCTCTCTGTAAATAATAAGCAACATAATGAGAGAAAGGACCATCTTCTTTTTCTATTCTTTGGATTCTCTTGCGATTTTGTATTTGACCACAATCACTTTTTTGGTGGATTCTCTTCTCTTTTTTGTTTTTGCTATTCTGTCTCATACTTGATAGTACAGTTCAATGTTACCATAGAAACTAAGAAATGATACACCGTAGCTCTTTGTTTAAGTAAAAAGAGTCATACGTGAACGTGACCAGGAACAGAATAACAGGATTGATGATAAATTAGTAAGAGAGAGATATGAACAATCTAAATGGTAACTAAATTGCTGTTATCCAGTTCATGTTAATGGCCCAACAAATTTTCTTTATGTTAAGTGGCCCAAGTGGTATAGAGGCCCAACTATTATTATTTTGACAAATACACTATAACCATTAACGATGTGCTTGCACTTAGACAAAGGATCTGAATGGAGACATATGTTCAGGCGGAACGGATTAAGCGGTTCCAAGCGGATCAAACATATATAGCAGAACAAATGTGGATTAGTCGACCAAAAAAAAAAAAAACAAATGTGGATTAAGTGGTTATGACTTTTTAAAACATGTATTTGAATGGTAACAGTGGATCAAATTTCAAAGAGTACAAATGTCAATTTAAGAGTTTTTAATGGAATATTATACATATTAAACTAAATTATATTAGATTAAAATTTGCTGTATTATTAGCATATTTTTGAACAAGTAGTTTTCTAATCAATGTATAATTATTATATAATGTTTGCAAAAATTAATTTACAAAATTAGACCACATATGAGTATAAGTTGTACTAAATTTTAAAACGACTATATTGGTATTATAACCAATGGTGATTTTATATACAATTACATAACTTTTCAATGACAGGATATATTCAATCATGTTTCTTTCTCAAATATGTAATTATTATAACAGATATGTATATAGGAGAAAAGTTTATGATCAGTTAAGAAATATGTATTTAAATAAATATTCTTAATAACTAGTAAATTAAGTTTAGTGATTATGAAATTTGTAAAAAATATAATATAATTATTCTTGAGATCTTATTTTAGTCTTTCTTCTTAACGCTAGCTGGAGCGATAATTATCCCAATGTAGAATAAATATCAACATCATAAACCTATTTAATCAACTTAAGATGGCCGCTGTGGTAGAAAAAGTACATGAATCTCTTCGTCAATATGCTACCAAAAGGCTTAGAGTTGATAAATTATTGAAATTATTTTCCGAAATTAAAGATTATAAAATCTTAGTCCCCCATTTCATCATATATATATATATATATCAAAGTTATCTTTCATTTTGTTAAATTTGTATCTTTAAATATTTGTTGCAAATTTGATGCAAATTAAATTTGTATCAAAAACATATTATATATGTATATATTATAAGTAAATTCGCGCAATACATACGGAAATTGTTATTTATTGGAAAAAGAGTTTATAACTATTTTTCCATGAACAATACGTTAGGTTTCTCTGGGAAAAGACTACTTTATAAGGTGAACCATGAATCTAAAAGGCATAAGTTTCAACATTGCAACAAAATAAATTAAAATAAAAGTCGTTAAACAAAAAAAATACTTGCAAGAGGTTTACGTTGATCCAAAAATCCTTCTAGTCCTAGTCGTAAGAGAGAAAGAGAAAAAGATCGACAATATAGGAGTTGGGAGACATTAAGTATTAACTTTAAAGTGAGTTTCTTCTGACATAAGTGGATTTAATTGCATTTTCAGAAACTACTGCCCCAAAAAGTCCAATAGTCTATACACAATACGAATTCAAAAGATTAACAAGTGACATATATTAGCCTCATCCTAATTTATCTATATAATCTTCTTTTTCTTCACAACCATACACATATGTATAATTCTTTTTGTTGTTGTTGTTGTCAAACAAATGTATATATATAGTTATTGTATGTAAATATTTTGGCTTTACATGATCTCATATGATCGGAACTAACATCTACGATGCAAATATTTTACAATCGATCTAGCTATACGAACCGTAAGAGAACGAAGCAAGCGGAACAATCCACTTCTTCCCCCACCTTGGTCCCGGGATAAGGGTTTTCAACTTTTCATATGATATCCTCAAAAATCACTTTAAAAAAAAAAAAACAAGAACAGGAAACAAAGATGCATGGAATTACAAAGAATTAAACTATATAGAAATGTCCTTAATTATATATTCAACATTACAAAAATACACAAGAAGATAGATACACATAGCACACATCATTTTCTTGTTCGATCTATCAGTTATCAAAGTTACCTATTGTGAAGTGGATTTGGACCAGTGGGAATTATTCGTTTTGAGTCAAAAGCAGAAGAGTTAGTGATCGTTCCCATGGAGTCATACTTTAGAACTTGTTGCTCTTTTTCTTCTTCTTCTTCATATGATCCCTTCTTCATCAACAAACTCCGCATTGAAGCTGATTCCGAGTGATGAATGAAAGCAAGAATAAGGAGAGAAGAAGCCAATATAAACAAACCTTTCATTTTCATTTTCTAGTTTTGGTCAAAAATACTGTTTTCGTTTGTTTGATGGGGATACAATATGAAGGAAAGCAAAAGTTATAAAAAGCGACGTTTGATGAAAGGGCAAAGAGAATTAGAGTGAGTATATTTATATACAAGCTACGTTGCATATAAAATAAAATAAAATAAACTAAGCATGTAACTAAATTGAATAATTAGGTAATTATTTGGAAATCATGCATGTTCCTCTTTTTCTCGGTTTCACTATGTAAAAATGTTTTTTTTTTTAATAACTTATGTCTTTGATTTGAAGATTCATAAGTCTCAGCCACATTAAGTGAGAGCCTGTGGACACATTTATGGTAACAGTAAAGCCGACAAGTTATAATTGAACACAATAAATATTTTTGTTTTCTTTTCTAAGAGTGAATATAAAACCCAAAACATTCTGCTTTCATTGATGAGATCTAAGAAAAATAACATTTATGATTCACTATATTGACGATGAATTGTGCCATAGATTCATTACTTGTTGGTCCCTCTTCATTTTTAGACATATATACTTTTATCACCACCAATCTTTGTAAATTATGTTCGAATGTTTACAATTTTAAAAAGAAATATATTGTTAACTACTTTATTTTTCGCAACATGCATGCATGCATCATGCAAATAATGAATGTTCTATAACTAAAGGTTAATTAGTATATGTTTTTATTAGGTGAAGGAAGAATTGGAGAAAGTGATAACTGATGAGAAACCTTTGAAACAAAGCACATGGAAAGGGTTAACTATTTCAGAAGTGCATGGGAATTTAAAAGCAAGTGAAAAGGTGAAAATGGAACCCATGCTTACTCCTCTATATACACTAGCGATTTTCAATTTCAATCAAACGCATTAACTTTGTTTTTTTTTCCTTCACACCATTCCACTTTATTCGTGAAACTGAAACTTAGCAGTCAATAAATATCACATGTTTCTTATTAGGGTATGATCGAAAAAGTATAAACCTAATTAATTTAAACAACCCACAATAGTGGCGTAGCTAGGAAAGAGAATCATGAGTGTCAAAAACAAGTTATAATGATCAATTGTGTTATTAAAAGAAATTATAAGGGTCAATTGTGTTATATTACAAGGGTCAGTTTGATTTTTTTCCTAAAAATTCATCAATTTTTTTAAATTCACCAGGGTCAATTGACCCTCTTAACTACACCCTACCTCCGCCCACCCACATGATAGTTTATAAAGATTCAAACTATCTTATTCTTACGTATCCATGTATACTAACAAGAACTATCTAAAATATGTGTGTAACCCCTTATAAACTTCTGGATTTGTATACGAGATATACAAATATACAATTATTAAAGCGTAAGTGAACCAAATATCATTGTCAATACCAATCAAAATTTTGGGATTAACGATCACTCGTTTGATATATTGAAAATTGCAAAAACTAAGTAGACGAAAATATAACGTCATAATCTTTAAAAACCACATTCTGATGTGGAATGCTTTCGTGTTATATCAATAGTAAATAATCAATGCATTTTATTCGTTTACAGTGAACTAGATTTTCTTACATATAAATGCTATCGTCTGTGAAAGTAAGTAACAATAAATTTCAAATATTTCTTGGTGGGATCGATATTATATATTTAAAATTAACACATTGGTTAAAAGCATTAGACAAAATATAGATTATGAAATCGATAGTTGTAACTAAATTATTTGTTAGTATCAAATATTTTCTTGGGATTTTATTTCGTTTTCAAACATAATTTTGAAGACAAACCATTTCTGAATTTACAATATAAAAACAAAGCAAAATTTCTGAAAAACTGGCAAAACTAGTGTGGAGGAAGAAGGCACATGTACAGGGAGAAGAAGATAAAAGAGACAAGAGTTGAAGCAAATTCCACATATATAGACTTAGACTAAGGGCTATGCTACCAAAAGCTGACAGATACAGTTAGGCATGAGTAAACCATTAACTACTGTTAGATTTTGTGCAAACAATAAATGGTGTGTTTCATTTTGCATGTGTCTGTATATATATTGATTAGAGCATTTCGTAGCATGTGGCAAGGTGCTACTGCATGTACTAAAGTGTTAAATTATTTCCCTTTTCTTTATAGTAGTACTAAGTTGTGATATGTTACAATGGGTCATCCAATTCCTAGACCACCCACCACTAGATTGCTATTTTTATAAAACATGCATAAATGATATGAACCATATGGATTTAGGGTTTCATAAATATGCCAACATATTATAAGTTAAAGTTTTGTTAGGCTGTGAGCGACCAAGAAGTAGATGGGGATGTTAATATACCAAATAGCTAGACATCATCTCAATGTTAAATGGGCCAAAGATCAGAAGTCCAAGTTCAGCCTAATGAAGCCTATATCCAATTATACCCAACTAGATGTATAAAACGCATCATTCTCCGTTTGGTGAAAGCAAAAGCAAACATCATTCTCCGTTTCAAATTCAACAATAGATAACAACACCATTAGGCTATAAGTTAACTAATTAATCGAAAGATGTTTGCTTGTGAGGATGAAATCATTGTTTCACATGGTTAATATGATTTTGCAACACATATAGTATTAGATTATTTATGAGAATATTTTACACTCACTTAATTATTTAATATATATATATATATATATATATATATATATATATATATATATGTATATTATTTTTTTGGAATCAACGATGTCATAATCTTAACTATGGGTCAATTGATTATTAGGTCATGGGGAGTTTTCGAACATTCTAAAAATTGAGTTTCTTTTAGTTTTTTTAGTTATGTTCCTATTTGGAGAAAAAACTAAAACAACAACGAACGATGTCATAATCTAGAAGACGATTGATCGTTGCTAAAGTAGTTGATCCAAAATCTCAACCAATAAATTTTTGTGCGTATTTTGGATTAAACATCTATCTATAGAGTTACCTATAAGTTTTATTAGAAGTTAGAAAATTGTGTTAATAAAGAAGTAGTATTGGATCCTTACTTGTTTATGACGATACACTTATATGTATCATAGAGATTAAGCTTTTCCTCTACGTTCTTGTTTTGTCTTATCTGCGCTGTTTAATAAGTGGGGTGTTAAGAAAGCAATTGTAACACAAAACAAGTTGTTGGGTCAGTTAAACTATCAATAGCAATGTTCTAAAGTGGAAAGTGCCTTCATTATTGTGACTTCATCCCAAGTATCATAATCGTTCATCGATTAAGCTAAATTCAAAATCAATTAGCATCTTCTCAGAATTAAAACTTGATAGACTTCTACCACGATAAGTACAAAACCTGAAGATGTTGGGAAACAATGTAAAATAGAAAGTTATAGATTTTAAGATTGTTAAAGATATTTTAAATCCAATATTATAATCAGATAATTTTGTCTTCTTTTAAAAATCTAATAATATGGTTGCACATTTTTAATAACTATTATGTTTTATAACCAAGAAATGATCAAATATTTTTTTTTTATCAAAAAAGTGGTTTTAATTATTTTTGATTAATTTTCGAGCATGTGTCTTACCCGATTTCTTACCAACTTAAATATAAGATTTAAATTAAATATTTTAGTGTTTTATTAATGTATATATATATATATATAAATAAAATTGTCTTAAAACGTATAAAATGTAAACTAAAATACAAATAAAAGCGCATATAATTATCATTCCCGGCCGGGTCATAGGGTCAATATCAGAGCTCTTTTGACTGTTGAGTTTTGCGTCTTCACGTATTCTGCATATATATGCTTTCTCCATATCTCCACCGCAATCTCAAAATTTCACAGTCCGTTCATTACTCTTTTCTCTTATAGCCGCAGCACTAACCAAGTTGTCTTTGCACCAAATATCAAAACACTTACTTCACCAGTTAATTAGACCCACAAGACTTATTATATATAGTAAGTGTTTACTTGTTGCTCTTCTTAAGGGTCCTCGGGTCAAAGTTTGTGTGCGGGCCTATGGGAGCATGACCTTATGTGATGAATATAGATTCCATTGATCCAATTATAGTATAAGTGACTTAACAAACCTTTTGAGTGATAGACTACTATACTAAAACTCCATCCCAGTCAAAACATTTAATCATGACCCATATAGTGTTTTTGGATACTATTTTATAGTCACTTAGTTTTAGCTCTCGTGACATTTGTTTAGGGTCACAAGTTCTCATGGCTGCAACATGTTACATGAAAATGGACCACTTCGACCTTATTACCAATGGTTACAATTTTCAATTATAAAAAGTTAACACACAAATTAACAAGTGGGAATCTAAGACATTAATGTATTGCTTTTGTGTCACATGGGACAATGATTTTGTTTCGGTCGCTTCTAACTTAGTTCTAACTTCTAACCAATAATTCTGAATTCTAAATTTGTTACAAAGTCCTTTGTTACAGAGTCCTTAGCGTGTCTAATGGTAATGATTTAGATTATTTCTGTTTCAGTATGTAACGACAATATATAAATTCAACATTTTAATCCAATTGAATTGTTGTTATATTAATAACAAAGTTTGAAATAAACACACACATGCATGAAAGTGGTACAAATACCAACATTTTCATACTTTTATCACGTCAATAAACTCACGACGATATATAGAAATTGGACTTTCTTAGTTTTTATTCAGCATCAAAATTTTATAAATAACTTAGAGAATCATTACTAAAATGAATAATAGCTACGTTAAGCTAATTACCACAAAAATAATCGATAATGCATGAGTAACTAAAATTTAATAATAGTTACGATCAGCAAACTTGTTCTTTCAACTGATTCTCGCTTATGAACGTTCCATGGAAACCGTAAGGTACTCTCTCCGGCAGCCGCACCGCCGCGACTTGTTTCATATCCGTCGCGTCGACCACCACAAACTCCGACTCGTTTCTTTCTTCGTCTCTCACGAACCCCATTACGTAACCTTCGTCTTCTCCTTCTTTCTCTGGTACAAAATACGGTTCGCCACCGAACCGGCCCGGTCCGTAATTAAATTTTGAAACGCTACCGTTTTGTATATCCACCTTAGCGATCCCACTGCATTTAGGCCAAGGTTCAGCTATTGCTATGTAAACGAACCGGTTTTTTCGGCCTACGAAATTCCGGTTTATTTGTCCCGCTTCTAAATTTATCCCGGTTACGATAACTTTCCGGTTTGATTCTTTTGTCCGCATGTTTAACCGGATTTCGCTTAATTCAATCCGGGTTGGTTCTCCTGATTCACTAAATATTGTGTCGGGTGGGCTCATACATGACCCGATAACGACAATGACCGGGTCTCCATCTTCGGTTATCTCTTCCCATGCGTTCCATAGATGGAAACAGAAACAATCCGGTAAGTCTACCCAATTTATACCCGAACCGGTCTGATCCTGCTTCGACAAAACTCCAAATCTCGACATTTTCTCTTTATCGTAAATAACCGGTGACCCGCCCCGAATCATTTCTGATAATTTGAATACCAATTGCTGATCCGGTATAACGACAAAATTCTCGGTTATCGCGAAATCATGAATCATCGTTGGTTCAGGGAGCGTGATGTCCACGTCACGTGTCTTTTTCCCGCACGTGTCGAATTTAATATACCTGAGATGAGGTTTCCTCAACACGTTGTAGCTCAGCGTGTGCAGATCACCTGTGATAGCGTCCACCTTAGGATGCGCTATCACTGAACAGTCGATCTGATCATCGAAGCCAAACCGTCCGATCGTCTCGAGGTCTCCCTGACCGTCGATCTTCACTTGGTAAGGGAGATCATCCTCCGACATGGCTAGCAACCTCCCGTTGAAGTAAACAAGGCCGGCGTTAGCTACACCCATGCCACGTGTCCCGTCCACGAGACCAATCCCAGCTCGAGCCGCGAAGAGAGCGAGTCTAGCTAAACCGGAGTGGCCGTGAAGCTCGCCGATTGGTTTAGGAAAAACCGATCGACCAAGCTTGGTTTCTTGAACAAGCCGGTTTGTTTTAGTGTACCGACAGCTATAACTAACCTTGTTATCAGAACCGATACTAACGGCGTGAATCATTCCGTCACCGTCAAACAAATGGTGTCCGGCTAACGGTGGGAACATAGGGTTAGCCCCGTTACGTATGTAAACGCCTCGTAGACAAGAAGGAATCTGACCAACAACTTCTAAACCGTTTTGAACCGGACATTCTTGAACCGGAGCGAAGTTACCTGATAATTGAACCGATGGATCGGTTGGTTTAGGAAGAGGGCGAGACTGCTCCATAGGTATAACTATAGAGGACTCGATCTTGTCGAGCATCGTAGCCGCTAGCTTCTTGAAAGGGTTTAAGTTTGGTTGCGTTGGTTTGAGTTTAACCGGTGGTGACGTGACCGGAGATTTGAGCAGAGGAGGGAGATCAGGAAGTGTAGGTATCTTGAAAGGGTTGATGAGAACTCGTCGAGAGATGTTTACATTTTTGGTTTGTGGAAGTAAGTGAGAATGAGAAGAAGAAGAAGAAGAAGTCTTCGAAGGAAGAAGATGAGAGCGAAGAGAGTGTTGCATGGTGGTGGTGACTTGTATTGTGAGCGATCTTTAGCATAAGTGTTTAATAAACATGAAAAGAGTAGTGTATCGTGTCACGTTTTATAAGTAAAGTGTTTTGTTTTTTTCTTTGAGGGTTTTGTCCTCAACGTGAGGGTAAAAAAAAAGCTAAGCGGTTTAAATTAAAGATGATAGAAAATGTAACGGGGTTTTTTGACATTTGTTAAAATTATTCAAGACCAAATCTAGATTACTATATAGTTCTTGTTAATTCGACGGGTATGATTGTTTAACTTTATATTTTTGTTTTGTTTCAACGGTAGAGATCTTTTTTTTTTTTGGTTCTGAAAGTGAATTTCAAAAAGGTTAGAAATCTTTTGCATTTTTACAAATTTTGTTATTGAATATATGAATATTTAAATCCGGATTATATGGTATGTTATTAGTTGGAGATTTTTTTTTTTTTTTAATTCAACAGTTTTGATTGTTTCACAATTTTTTTTTTTACTTTTATTCCAACGGTGGATATATTTTGTTTGAGAATCTATTATAACATTTTTGGAGTACAAATTTTTGGCCATCACCTATTAAATTGCTTATGACATCGATTACCCTCAACATCAATTATTTTGCCTGTTTTCATTAAGGTTATTGTAGTCAATATATTGAATCGGGTCGGTAACTTTTCCAATCTTTAACCCAATTTGATTACTCGGATCCTTCTATTTCGCCTACCAACGATTGCCCTTCAAATAATCTTCATTCCTGTTGAAATAAAAAGGTTAATAAAGTCTTTAATATACTTAATCGGTTTATAAGATACATTCAGTACTGACTAGATTTCGATAACAAGACATTTAGTTTAACAAGATTTTATCAGTTATGATAACCGACCTCTATGCCTACGAATACATCATCACAAGTATTTTGAAAATCTTTTAAAACTAATATCATAAATAACAAACCATATATAGATCTCATATCGAAACTAGGTTCCTTAATTTTTGGAATATCTCTGCTCTCCACAATTGTGTCAATCATATATTCTTATATTCCTGAAATGAAGAAAGAAGTTAATATAATCGATCGAGAGAATTTGGAATATTCCATGGTTGAAGATCTCATTTTACATTTCGAAAATATATTGCAAATAACTAAACTTAATGAAAACGCCGTGTAAAATTTAGGTTAATGTCGACTTCATTCCTCTCCTACACTATATATAGCACAACCATATACAACTATTACTCAGAGCACCCAAAAATCCCTACAGCAAAAAAAACTCTTCACAAAAAACATATCTACATGGCTGCTACATTTGCATACCTCAGGGACATACGTCCTTACAAGACAGCTTGGAGGGTCCAAGTCAAAGTGCTACACTCTTGGCGCCAATACACAAACATGACTGGAGAGACATTCGAGTTGATCTTCTCCGACGACAAGGTTAGTTCATGTATTATTATAAGTGTTAATAACAGCCATGGATCAACTTATAATGTTTATTTTCTTTTTTTGTAGGGTGTAAAGATACATGCTACAATCAAGAAGGACTTGGTTAACCGCTATGTGACTAATTTAACAGTTGGTCAATGGAGGTTCGTCGAGAATTTCCAGCTCACTCATGCTACCGGTCAATTCCGTCCAACCAACCATCTCTACAAGATGGCTTTCATAAACGGTACCATGGTGACGATGAGTGATCCGGTTTCTGATTCAAACTTTTTGTCTTTGGCTAAGTTTACAAAAATTCAGAATGGTGATATGAATCCTTCCATGTTGATTGGTAAGTAAAGAATACATATCGCTCGGCTTCTCAATTTATTTGTACTCCATATCTATTTTAGAAGTCTTGCATGTTTATTGTTAAACGATTAATCACCAACTTCTCTATTTTATAGATGTAATGGGACAAATTGTTAGTGTTGGTGAGATTGAGACAATTGAGAGTAACAACAAGACAACCACCAAGCTTGATCTTGAGCTGAGGGATGAGACGTACGTACTTTCATATATCTAATTCTCTAATTATGGATTTCCTTCATATACTATCGTATTTAAACTATATGTTAATCGTATTTAAAATAATACTCTCATATTTTTAAAAACTTTCGTTAATACTCTCATATACTTTTTAGAATATACGTGCATATATCTCATTCATATACTATCGTATTAAAACTTTGTGATATATGTATATAGAATAATACGATCATATTTTAAATGACTTTCAATACTAATCTCATATACTTTATAGAATATACATGCATATGTTTCCATCATATACATGCATGATCGTATATGTTTCCATAAATACAATAGTTTAACAAATGTTTTTATATGCATGAGACGTACGTACTTTCATATATCTAATTCTCTAATTATTTATTTCCTTCATATACTATCGTATTTAAACTATATGTTAATCGTATTTAATATAATACTCATATTTTTAATAACTTTCGTTACTACTCTCATATACTTTTTAGAATATACGTGCATATATCTCATTCATATACTATCGTATTAAAACTGTGTGATATATGTATATAGAATAATACGATCATATTTTAAATGACTTTCAAATACTAATCTCATATACTTTATAGAATATACATGCATATGTTTCCATCATACACTATCGTAATTAAACTATCAGTTGAACTATACTATCGTAATACTTATCTTATATACTTATATATCAATCTGCATATGTACGTGCTTTCATAAATCCATCATATACCTTCGTGAGTTATAATGTTGTTAATCGTTTTTGCATCTCCATACTCTCATATTCTTAATAACTTTGAACTATATCTTTCTATTGGGAAACAGGGATGAGCGTCTATCGTGTACCTTGTGGGGGACGTTTGCATCACATGCTTATAGAGTTTGTGCTGAAAATGAAGGACTCCTCCTCATTTGTGTCCTTCGATTTGCTAAAATAAAAACATACAACGGTTAATTCCCTACTCCTTTATACTGTTATAAGTTATTACTTTCTCATTGGAAATCATGTCTAATGATCTACATATACTCTCAGGTATCAAAACTGTCTCTAACTCATTCGATGCATCTCAACTCCACATTAATCCTCCTTTCTCTGAAGTTGTGGATTTTACTCAATCGTACGTATCAACCTCAACACATTTTACTTTTATATGCTATATAGTCTATGTCTAAAAACGATATACTTTTAAATACAGCTTACCAGAAGATGGTCTTGCCCTCACTGTTCGTGAGAATGTTCCGTTTGGTGCTATCGTTGCGGCTGGGAAAAAAGATAACTTTCTTGATTACCAGAGGAAAACAATTGCGGATCTGCTTCATTCATATGAGGTAATTCAGCCTACTTATTTCAATTCGGCCGAGTTTGAGAAAAAAATCCAGCCAACTTATTTCAATTCGCAGCTTTTTCACTTACAAAATTCACTTTATAGGTTGGCAAAGCTAGACTAATGTGCACCATCTATGCTATTGATACGGATTGGGCATGGTATTATATAAGCTGTGTTGCTTGCAACAAGAAAGTAACACCAATCCATCCAGCAGGAAGTGCTGTTCCTTCTAATAAGGATAAGCCCAAATTTTGGTGTGATAATTGCAGAATTGTTGTCACTAGAGTTGTTGCTAAGTAAGCCAAAATACTTACTTAGATTTAATATTTCTAAAGCTTTATCTATGCCACATGACTAATATTCTCATTACTCTCAAACACTAAATTATGCAGGTACATGCTCTACGCTAAGGTGATGGACGCCACTGGTGAGTCTAAGTGTCTGCTATTTGATACCGTAGCTGAAGATATCATTGGGGCATCTGCTAAAACCATACTTGGTGGATCACTCCAGGAGGTTAGATGATTTTTGTTTACTTAGTTGTATATCGTTACACGTATTTACATAGCCACAAATTGAATAATAGTCCACATATTTACATGGCCACTAATTGAATAATGGTTTTCAATTATGCATTTGTAGATTGATAATCCTGATGATATTCCTGATCAACTAAAGAACTTGGTTGGGAAAACTTTTCTTTTCCTTGTGGCCATTGGGAAAGAAAACATTTGGGGAGGAAAGGATACTTATAAAGTGTCTAAGGTTTTGCAAAAAGATGGCCTCCTTGTGGAAGAGACTCCACAAGAATCTACAGAAATGATGAATCCTGCAACTATTGTCTCTGGTGATCAGGTATTTACCTCAGTGTAAACTCAATTCCTAAAACTTATTATGATATGGTTATTTTAGTATGTGTATATTTAATAGTGGGGACATGTTTTTTAATTCTCAGCTGCTCATCACCTACAGTCAAGAAACTACAGAATCCAATACCCCATCCTCTAAGCGTGTCTATGCTGCTAATAATGATCCTGGTGAACAAACATCCACTTCTAAGAAGGTTTGCAGCAAGATTGTTGATAAAGTTGAGAGCACTGAAGGCTTGACCAGTCTACAGACAAAAACTCTTGATTTCGGAAATGGTGAGGAGGGAAAAACACCCAAGATGCAGCCTACTAAGGAAGAAACTAAGACAACTGAGATTGTCGAGCAGAATGTAAGCGTCCAAGCTGAGGTTAAGCCCGTTGTGATCAAGAAGCCGCGACTCGTGAACGTTAAAGTTGAAAAGAATCCCTAATGATCTCTACTTTATCATTTTATTCAGAAGACAAACATTAATCTCTCTTTATTTTATTTCTATTTTCTAAGTTGTTTTGCTCCAATGCATGGAATAACGTGGCTTCGACCAAACTATTTATGTTCTTTAAATTAATGAAATAATAAGGTCTTCTGAAATTTATTGTTGATTTATTATTTTCTATATTCTTATATGGAATTACAATAATATATCTTCTATATTGATATATACAACTACATTAACATAAGTAGGAATGGCTTCCTTAGCCCAATGGTATCGATTAAGGCAAAGAACCTTAATATCTATATATAACAACCCAGGTACGTTTAATTTTGTACTTCTCTTTGCTGTGTAGTTAATAGATTACGATTAAGTATTGGCTAATCCTAATTTTATGTTCTCCTGCAGATCTTACGTTAACTGATCAGCAAATCAGAAACTACGCACTTCAAGAAATTGAGAAGATTATGTTGATTAACGGAGGTTCCCTTAAAAATATCACCGACTTCCCACAACCATCTAGAGAAGATCTTGATAACTCCAACCGTTTAATTGCTGATGAAATGAGGTATAATGATGGTACTTTGAAAGAAAAACACGATCAGTGGGTTGAAATGCTAACTTCTGAGCAAAGAGCCATCTACGATGAGATAACTGGTGCTGTTTTAGAAGACAAAGGGGGAGTGTTCTTTGTTTATGGTTTTGGAGGAACAGGTAAAACGTTTATTTGGAAGACTCTCTCGGCTGCTATTAGATATAGGGGAAAGATAGTGCTCAACGTTGCCTCCAGTGGGATTGCTTCTTTGTTGTTAGAAGGTGGAAGGACTGCACATTCTAGATTTGCTATACCTCTAATAGTGGACGATTATTCTTTATGTAAGATTAAGCCTAACTCTGATCTGGCTAATCTTATAAAAGAGGCATCTCTTATTATTTGGGACGAATCACCAATGATGAGCAAGTATTGTTTTGAGTCTTTAGATAGAAGTTTTGCTGATATAATGTGCAACGTAAGCAGCAGTGTTTTCGCTGGTAAAGTTGTTGTTTTCGGAGGTGATTTCAGACAAGTTCTTCCAGTTATCCATGGTGCAGGACGAGCTGAGATAGTCTTATCTGCTCTCAATGCTTCTTATCTTTGGGATCATTGTAAGGTTTTGAAGTTGACTAAGAATATGCGTTTGCTGCAAAATGGCTTAAGTCAAACTGAAGCTAATGATATCCAAGATTTTTCAAACTGGTTATTAGATGTTGGTGATGGTAAGATTTCAGAACCTAACGATGGTGAAGCTTTGATAGATATTCCAGAAGAATTCCTGATTACAGAAGCAGAGAATCCTATAGAAGCAATTTGTACAGAAATCTACGGTGATCTGGCATTGCTAAAAAGTAATGCTGATGCACAATTCTTCCAGAAAAGAGCTATATTAGCACCCACAAATGAAGATGTCAACATCATCAATCAGTTTATGCTTGATAAATTGGACAGTAAGTCTTTTTCCTTTTTCCTTGCGGCCTTAATACGTTCTACATAATCTATACAACTATGAACATCTCACGTTGTTTCATATTTTAACGTGTAGGTGAAGTGAAGGAGTATCTAAGTGGTGATAGTATCGATCCAAGCGATACAGATTCTTTGAAAAATCCAATTATCACACCGGATTTTTTGAATAGTATCAAGCTCTCAGGTTTGCCTCATCATGCTTTACGATTGAAAATAGGAGCTCCTGTTATGTTGCTTAGGAATATTGATCCTAAAGGTGGATTATGCAATGGGACTAGGCTTCAGATAACGCAAATGGCTAATCGTGTTGTTGAAGCAAAAGTTATCACAGGTGATCGGATTGGAGACATAGTCTTAATTCCACAGGTTGTTGTTACACCATCGGACACCAAATTACCATTCAAGATGAGACGAAGACAATTTCCACTTTCTGTAGCGTTTGCTATGACTATCAACAAAAGCCAAGGACAATCTCTAGAGCATGTGGGTATATATTTGCCTAAACCAGTTTTTTCTCATGGTCAGTTGTATGTTGCTTTATCTAGGGTAACTTCGAAGAAAGGATTAAAAATCTTAATCGTCAACAAAGAAGGGAAGGTTGACAGACAGACAAAGAACGTTGTCTTCAAAGAGGTGTTCCAGAATCTGGGCAACTAGGCTTGCTGTTTTACACGTACGCTTCACTTCAACTTGTGGTGATACGATTTAGACAAACCTGCTAAACTCTTTTAATTCATTTAACGATTGCTTTAGGTAATAAGTTGAATTGCAAAATGTGTAGTCACTGATACGAGTTTACCATTCACCATAAATCATGCACAACCATTTCCAGACTGAAGTAGAGTATGAAGTTTACCTTATTGTCTAATGTCCTACGTTCTTTATCCGGACATGTCAACGATGCCATATAAAAGACTTCAAAAACTGCATATAACAAATAGAGAACAATGTTTTGAGTAAACGGCACCTTATAGTTTTCACATATGTTGTTAAAAAAAACTAATTGAAGTCTGCAGTTATCTTACTCATTCAATTAGCTAAGCATAGTTCTTATATGCTAATAAGTGACTTGAATCCGCAAGAATTCTGAAACACAAACTCCTTAGTTCGGTTGAATATAAATTCTACCTTCTAATCCAATTTTGTTCGTCCTTAAACCGGTGTTATCCACCATTCCATATAATAGAGTTTAAAAACTGCAGACAACAAATAGAGAACAACATATAGGAGATTAAAGCACTCGGTATTCACATAAGCAACATTCTTCCATTAAATATAAACATGTAATACCTGAATCACTTCCCCAAAAAAAAATTATCCAATTAAAACCTGTAATTAGCAACAAGTTATAAGTCAGATGTATTGGATCAACAGAAACGTAGAAAGATGAAGTTAAAATAATTCACAAAGGCATTAATTAGACCATAAAACTCAAAATAGGATTATATCAATTGAGAATTGGAAGATTCAAGATAGTGAACCAGAGTTCTCGAAATGATCCCAATCGATTTACATAAGAAAACCTTTGCATGCTCTACAGGACCATCATTTGCTGCACCATCATCCTTGAATATTCTGAAACCAATCGATTGCTGCACCATCATCCTTGAATCTTCTAGATGCCAACATCGTTATAAATTTCAAATGATGAAAACTAGAGTTTGGAACATGAGAAAGTAAGTAGATAGATAGATTAAATTTCTGGGTTTTCTCACAAAGAAGGGAAATTCAAGTTCAATTACCTTCATGTTCGATTCAGGTACTTGTATTTTAGATACGATCGGTTTGTCTCGAAGGAAAGTGAAAGAGACACCGTTTGAAAACTTTAACGGAAAGGCCATTTTAATTTTTTATTTTCCTTATCTCAACTTGATGACAGTTTTTGGCCTCTCTTTAAAATATGGTTCTTGGGATAAATAAATATGTGTAAAAGTAACCAAACAATTTCGGACTTAACCAAACAATTTCTGACTAAGCATGCACAATAACTAAAGTGTGAATACTTTGTGAACAAAATATTGTGTAATTATGTAAGTGCTAAATGTCGTTGATTTTTTTTAATATAATATGACTCCCACAAAACCATGGTTAAGTTATTAATAGAGAAGAAACAATTCGACAAACATCACATTCAAATAAACAAAATATTTATTGTTCACTACGATAAGGTACAATTTAACCTTACAAAACACTTCTTTTATAAAAATTAGGAAAAACAAATTAATCCAACTATGGACCCGTGGTGTACCACGGGGTAAAACCTAGTGGAGTAGTGAAATCTCCTAAAAGTGGTAATTAAATATTTTCTTTTAAAATTTTAGTTATTTTGACACATACATTATTTGGTATCATATCAATATTATATGAGTTTTCTACAATGTGAAGTTTTTTTCTTTCGTAAAATATCTTATTTTTCTTTTAACTAGTATCAATTTAAGTATAAATGGAAGAACTATAATATCTTTTACCTTCTTACAATTATGTCTCTATTAGGCACACATATAGTAGCAAATCCAGATTGACTCTACTATATATATAACGTGGAGTTTTTTTTATATACATTAAAAAAGATCAATTATTCTAATTGCGTCACTCATATATATTCTACAGAAATTTAGTCAAATGCTTTCGTGATATATATACAGAAGAGCATATCATTTTGTACTTAGTAGTATATAATAACAAACCTAGGTAATAGCTAAGGTAAAGCTGATGCTACTAAAGATGTACATTGAGATGATTAATGAGATTTTGTAGAAGATTTGCAAGCAAGTGTATCTAGCTATACGTACTATATAATTGGTATGACTTGGTAAGTATCTCGGTCTGTGTGTGTGTTTTAACACTAATGTAAAATTCATGTGGTGTGTGATAATAGGTTCCAACGTTTATTACTAGTAAAGAATAATATATCTAAAAACTTATGTCGCAAAAGTTAATAGTCAATTATTGTGATTAATGTGCCATGAATAATGTGAAGTTTGATAGCTAGTGGAATATACTGGGGAGATGGTAGTGGACCGTTTCCTTAGGATCGCTTTGGGTCCAAGTTTCTTGAACCGGATTGTATTGGTTATCAGACACCGCTCAGTCAGAAATGTTTTAGTAATAATAATCTTGATCTATTTTTTCTTATACATATATATCAGACCAAAGATTATTACCATGGCTATACAAAAAAACATGCGTCTTCTTAAAACTTATGTATTGACAAGATTTGATCATCTAGTCGTTTTGTATATTAGTATTGTTGCTATATAACGATCCAAATTCAAACATGGATTTTATAGGTTCTGAATACTTGTAAATACCGACTTTAAAACTAAGGTATAAACCAATAACCGTAGTCTAATATATATCTTGGAAACTGGAGAGAGAGAACCCAAAATCGAAGATAGTGAGTGAGTAACCAATACCAACACCAACTTTGCTACTAAACCGCCTTATCCTCTATAAAGTAACTCAAACGAGAAGCTGATTTGTCTTTGTGGAGTTCCATGTTCAAACAATCTAATACAACTTCATATGATGCAACCTAGCTAATAGCCGACTGCAACAAGTTCACATACTACGTACCACCACATACATAGTTAATGAAACCCAACAAAAGAGAGTAGACTACACTCATACGTATTACGTACATGCAGTACACAGAAAACACCTTGAGAGTGCATGGCGACAAAAGTAATTCCTAACTTAGATATGATCTGATGATATCATCTGTTTTCGGATTTTATATATCACGTGACTTTGATATACTTCACGTGGTACGATGAGACGTGTATGTATGGTTTTCTCCGACCGCTTAACCAAAGACCAACACTTGTGCTTACGAGAGTACGTAGAGTTCATGAAAATCTAAAATGTATATAGTTAAAGCACCACCGATTTAACGTGTCGAAGTTGTAGTGACTTCTTAGGTAACTTGACTTTGAGGTTATCAAAATATGTGAGGTTAGTGGTCGATCTCGGTCACACTTGTCCATGTGTCATCAAATTCTTAGTTCCATGCATCCATGCTTTATAGATACTTTGGTTATACATACACTAGTTTTAACCAATTGTAATCCAATACATAAAGAAATTTATCTATTGACGTTGGAACGTTTTACTCTTTCACTTTTTCCAACAAGATGATATATTTTTTTTTTGGTCAACTGGTGGTGTATTGATAGATTTCAAAAGGTACATCACAGAACAAACTGAAAAAAAGCTCCAAATCAACAAATGATTGAGCTAAACGACTACACACATACAAACCCTGGAAAGGAAGGGCCACTAACACGATATCGGGTTTCTACAAAAAATTCCTTCTAACCCACCCTACGTAACTTGAAAACTCAGATTCAATCAGGCGATATCTCGCTTTCTTCAACAAAAACACCATGAAGCCAAGATGGATGACCTTGAGCCACATAGGACTGCAACCCGCAGTCATTGATAACGCTTTGGGCAATTAGCAACGCTCCCCTGTTTGAAGAAGAGTTTTCCAAAAAGAATTTCCAGGCTGAAAAAGACTTTAACACTAAAACAGCCTCCATAGATTGGTATCGATATGAAGGCGACGCTGCCGGTTTGGTTATAGCACTAACCAAAAACTCTTCCTGCAGCCCAAACACCACTTTATCAACCCTGTGGCTTTTCATACTCTCAAGTGCCCACATAAGGCAAAAGAACTGCGCCTCTTGTTTATTCTCTAATGTAGACGAAGCCTTTCTACTATGCAACAACACCACTCCTTCATGGTTTCTTAAAACCCAAGCACAACCAGCCAGCTTGTTTCTATTTGACCAAGAGACTCCCACATTACACTTTAACCAGTTTACAGGCGGTTTCTTCCAGCTTTTCCTTGCCTGATTAATCCTGCTTCTCTGAGGTCTAACCTCCCTGCAGGCGATATTCTCATCCTCCTTACAGTCTTCCTCATCTACAATTTGAGCCTCAACCCACTCAATCCAATCTTCTCTGACTTTTTGAGCCACATCCAAAGGGGTGAACCCTTTTCCTTCAAAAGATGATTTGTTTCTATTCTTCCAAATTCTCCAGAGGGTCCATGGAAATGTTCTTCTCAACTCTTCTGGCCAAAGATTATTTTTAACATTCAGCAGAAGGTATTGGATATTTGAGAAGAGAGAACCATTTTGGAAACCATTCGGGGGAGATGGAATCCCAGTCAAAGCCCAAATCTGTCTTGAAAGAGTACAAGAAAAAAGAACATGATTCACTGATTCCTCTTCCCCTCCACAAAGCTGACATCTAGCATCCATTTTCATACCTCTATGGATCAATGCTGCTGCAACAGGCAAAGAACCACACAAAGCTTTCCAGAGAAATACTTTGATTTTTGGATCAGTTAACAGATTCCACACTCTAGCTTTTAGGTCATTTGTAGAAGGGAGTTGAGTTGCTGCATTTCTAACTTCCAACAGAGAGGTTTGAGCTGCTAACCAGTAGGCTGATTTGACTGAAAAATCCCCATTTTTATTGAAACGCCAAGAATAGAAGTCTTGATATTCAGTGACTGGTTTGATCTTCATGATTCTTTCAATGTCCCTCGGGAAAAAGTTTTCAGAAAGCTTTTGAGTATCCCAACTCCTTTTCCCATTGTCAATCAGGTCAGCTACTCTAAGATCTGGATTGAAGAATTGATTTCTTCTCCACGGAGGTCTCCAACCCTCTTCATCTTCAATCCAAACATCGATCCATACCTGGAAAGAGCGGCCATTTCCAATATTCTTTTTCAGACCTTGTTTTAGTAAGTCTCTCCCATGAATTATGCTTCTCCAAGCATAAGAAGGTCTCACACCCATCCCAGCCTCCAAGAACCCAGAGTTTGGGAAATATCTACTCTTCATGAGTTTAGCAAATAAGCACTCTGGATTTTGCAAGATTCTCCAAGCTTGTTTAGCTAAAAGGGCTTGATTGAATGTTTCCAAGTCTCTAAAACCCAGGCCCCCTTCCTCTTTAGTTAAGCAAAGCTTATCCCAACTTTGCCAATGGATTTTTTTTCCATGCTCCACATTGCTCCACCAATAATCAGCCATGACACTCACCAGATTTGCACAAGTCGTCTTTGGCAATTTGAAACATGACATAACAAAAACCGGCATGGCCAAAGCTATTGACTTCAAAAGGATTTCTTTCCCTCCTTGAGATAAAAACTTTGTAAACCACCCAGAAGTTTTGTCTTTTAGTCTATCCTTGATATAGCTTAAGAGCTCCACTTTTGATCCACTGAAACATTCAGGTATCCCTAAGTATGTTCCTACTTCTCCTTCCTTGAATATGCCCATCTTGGTTTTGATTTCAGATTTTGTTGCTTGGTTGACCTTTGACCCGAAAGTAATTGCCGACTTATTCAGATTTATGGATTGTCCCGTAGCCTCTCCATACCTCTTCAAGGTTTCTTGTAAGAAGGAACATTGGTCCATTGAGGCTTTGCACATAAATAGACTGTCATCTGCAAATAACAGGTGGTGCACTTCAGGGCCTTTTTCATGAAACTTTATACCTTCAAGGAGACCTTCTCTCTGGCCTTTATTTAACAAATGGGTCAAACCCTCAGTGCATAGAACAAAGAGAAATGGAGATAAAGGGTCTCCCTGTCTTAGTCCCCTCTGGGGGTTGATCATGCCAAAGGGTTGATCATTAATAAGGACAGAGAATGTGACAGTGGAAACGCATTTCATAATCCAATTCACCCATT